TTGCTTGCTGTTTCATTTTGTCATGAGATAAACAGAGAAAACTGCTTTCTAATATTTTGTTCATGTCTTTTTCTGGTGTGGATAAAGTAAGTATTAGAAACTAGAGTTAGACCAATTTATATTTATTGAAATTGGTGTATATGTTGACTGACAAGTTACAGCTAATGTCAGCGTAGAAAAGCCAAACACACATTTTTGTCACATACGCTGACCTCATAGATCGTTTATTGGTCAGGTATGCTGCACTACACTTCAACAGCATCTCCACAGCTTACATGATACGGTCATGAACTTGAATCAACACATCTATAAGACAGTTTCCCCCAAAAGAACAGATATTATAACCCTCATGGATGTTGGACTTACAGTTGGCAAATACACTGAAAACTGGGTGTAACACGCAGTAAAGCATAGACAAAAGAAACCGAAAGTGCTTTGATGTTAAAATTCCTTTAGCAAACTTTGTGTTGTTTACCTGTTGTCTTCTTGGGTGTCAAAGGTAATTGACTGTTAAACTGGAAAAGCAGGTTAATTTGAGCCAAACCCTTTAACTACATGGTTTGTTGCAGTGCCTCATGATATTCTACACGTCACTACAGTGAAATTAACCGACTTTTTTGTGCATTCAGAAATGTGATTCTGACTTGTTCTCTTTCTGTTTTTCTCTCTGCAGCCATGCCAAGTCTGAAGCTGATATCTGCGACCGACACACAGTATTCAGCAGCTGTGCTGAAGTCAATGAATGAGCAGCGAAACCATGGATTATTTTGTGATGTCACCATTATCATACAGGACAAGAAATTCAGGGCTCACAAAACAATCCTGTCTGCCTCAAGCACATATTTCCACCAGCTCTTCAGTGTCGCTGGACAAGTGATTGAGTTAAACTTCATCAGAGCAGAAATCTTTGAGGAGATTCTCAATTACATTTACACCTCCAAGATTGTCCGTGTCCGCTCCGACATGCTGGAGGAGCTCATCAACGCTGGACAGATCCTGGGGGTCAAGTTCATTGCAAACCTGGGGTCTCCGTTATCACAAGTTAAGGGTCTGCCTGGTTTGTCGAAGGAGACGGAAAGCAAAGCAGAGATGATGCCCATCATCACAGAGTCTTTCTCAATATCTGCAGAGGAATTCAATCAGACAAGCAGGGTTGGAGGTAACGATGAGGACTCGGACAGTGATGTTATGTTTGTGTCACAAACAGATGCTCAAACCAGAGCTGCCAGTCAGAAATCCAGCTCTGGTGAGATCATCGATTTGGACACAGCTGATTCAGAAAATGCAGCATCAACGCAAACTGAATCAAATCATACAGCTGCAAAACCGAAAGAGAAGGAGAAAGCCAAACCCCCCTTGAAATCATTCGCTCCAAAGCCTCCCAGCATCAGTTCTGCAAACTCCAGTTTGCCCAACAGCAGCCCTCTGCGCAGTCCAGACAGCAGCTCCAATAACTCGTCTTCCCCTGCCAGAGTTTCCTCAGGAAGTGCTCCCACAACACCAGCCAGGTCAAGCAGTTTCACCCCTGAGCCCTCGAGTGCCTCTCAGTCCTCTGAAAGCAGCGACATAATGGGAGTCCACAAGAAGCAAGTCTCAGCATCATCTCAGCAAGGGGATTTCAAAATAAGGATTGTAGATGTAGATGGAGGCGAAACAAATCAGACCAACAGTCCCAAATCAGCTATAGCAGCAAAAAAGACAGTGACCCTCAACACAGCCACAGAGATTGATTCAATTTCATCAGGCTGTAAAGTGTATGCCAATATTGGAGAAGACACTTATGACATTGTCCCCGTGAAAGAAGATCCAGGTGAAGGAGGCTCTAAGTCCAGTAAAGGGAAGAGATCATTAATGGCAACGCCTATCAAACCCTTTGATAAAACTCCCATGTCACAGAAAGGCAGCCCAAACAAGAAGAAGGCCAAAACAGAGCTCGAGGATCACTACGAGCTGATCATGGACGGGAAGACTTTCTACGTGTGCATCGTCTGCAAGCGCCCCTACGTGTGTCTGACGAGTCTCCGCCGTCACTTCAACACCCACTCATGGGAAAAGAAATACCCGTGTCGCTACTGTAACAAGGTGTTTGCACTAGCTGAGTACAGAACTAAACACGAAATCCACCACACAGGAGAGAGGAGGTACCAGTGCTTGGTGTGCAACGACATGTTCATGAACTACCAGCTACTGTCCACCCACTGCAAGCAAGTCCACAACCAGGACCCCAGTGGGAGGAAAGAGAAAGACGAGACGGATAACAACTTATACCGACTCCTGCCGTGTAAAACAGTGCAGATGAGGCCGTACTCGTGGAGTACTGAGGGGCAGGGGGTCCCCGTCATATCCGAGGATGGCAGCGTGCACCACATAACCAGCGTCAGCGAAGACGTCCACTCCTCCACCCAGAGCAGGATGTTGAACTGGGACGACATCTTTATCGAGCCCGATGCTCACATGCCACCTGATGCTCATGGCAGACCGGCGTCAGCCATGAACAGTCCTACACAGGGGGCCACAGAGTTTGACTTTGTTATACCAGAGACCTACTGAGCAGCACCTGCTGCTGTATTACCTGTGCCTTTTAGGTGCCCCCCCACCCTTTACTCCTCTTTGCTTCCATGTCAACAATATTCTTCTGTAATTCTCAATAGTGTCAGCTCGAGGTAAGCTCACATTAGCCTTTTTGTTGAATGAAATATGTGGGGTACGCACAGTGAACTGTGAATTATGAGTCCGCTGGAGTGTTTGAATTCGTCAGCCATGCCATCTTCAGTCAAAGTGAAAGGGAGACGGAGCGGATTGCGGCAGGAAGGAAGTGTAATGTGACCGTACCTTTACTCATATTACTCTGCTTGTGTAGTAGCCTTTATCTTTTGTATCATTGGAATAAATGATAGTCACACTAGCCAAAAAAAACCCATAGAAGTGGTTCACACACAGCAAAGGAAATAATTAGTTCATATGAATCATGCAAGAATCAAAAACTGCCCCCCAAAATAAGGCAGAGTGTAAGACCTATCACAACAGCTGTAATAAAATCATGTATGTTTAACTTATCAGCTAGAACATCTCAGCTACACGATCTGAAGCACAAAGCATTGAATTAAGACCTTTGAATGATGCTCTCTTGTTTCAGCAGTAGATTTTTTAAGGCCTCAATGCCTAAAGCAGCTCGCTGAGCTCTGTTATATAAAATATGAATGGGGTTCACCTATTTAAGAAACTTCAACTGATGAGTTTGTGTGTAACCATGTGACTTTTTTTTCCACAGGATACATTATAATGCATTTTGTGGTTTCACCAGATTTGTGTAAAATACAGGATGTGATCCATAATGAAATAAAGTTGCTCAGAACTGACCGGCTGCATCAATCATGACTCTCAGCCTGTTTTTGAGGATTAAATGCAACATTTCCCAGACTGATCGTTCCTTGTCCCCAGCTGAAACTGTTTTAATCTGAATTCTGTACAAGAGAATGTTCATTATGATCTGAAATATATTTTTTCATTGCGTGACTGTTGGCAATCCCGCATGTGGGTGTTGTAGCAGGGAAGATATTTAATTTTAAACTGGTTGGAAAAACAAATGGCTTTATTATTTTTTTTTTTCATTAAACGCCCTCTGTTTTATTTTGATACACCTGTACACTTTGATTTCCTGTGCTTGCCATGTTTCCTAAATGTTCTTTTAATGCAACATCTGCCTGCTACAGAGCACAGGCTAGAGATTTTGCATACAAATGTGATAATAGGAGACATAAATTGAGGATTTCTTCAGTCCGTACACATAGCACTTAGTGTTGGATCATGCAGAAGAATTTGTTTTTGTATTATTTTTACTTTTTCACTTTTGTTTTCCATTGTGTTAAAATGTAGTGATTGGTCAGTATGAGTAAAAAAAAAAGTAGTGCTAACATGGGGATCTGTTCTACTTTGTCATTCAATAAAGTAATGCAGGATTTGTTTTTTAATTGACAGATTAACATAGGTGTGTGATGTACAGTATATTTGTGTTAATCCTGCTTTTTTAAAAGAAACTGTCTCAGATGTATTTATTAGGTTTATAGCAGTAGACAAAATGAAATAGTTATTAAATACTCGGTTCTGTTTGCAATGTACAAAATGTCCCTTTTCTGTCAATTAGCAATGACGGTTCCCTGATGGTAAATAAATTATTCTTTTACTATTTTAACTTAATTGTATTGCACTACCTGCATATAAACATCTGCTATTTTATTCACTGGTGTGTCATTGTGATGTGTCTGAAATCAAACACAAAATCTTTATCACCTTATCTCACACTGTTATATAAATATTTACTGATATTGAGAGAAATGGGTAAACTTCCCCATTAACCACAGTCCCTGGTAAACAATTATGAACTTCTAAATCAGTGTTGGTTAAATTACGCCAATGTTGCTGGTGTAATTAAGTTAAAACGAGACTAGTCTGTACCCATAGTGTGAGGCTATACTTACAGATGTGGGTCCTTTGAGCTAAATGCTAACATGTTAATGTTAAGCAGGTATGAATTTAGCATGTTAGCATGCTAACATTTTCTTCTCAGCACTTAACCCCCCAAATAGAACCATAAAAAAAGCAGAGGACTGTTTTTTCTTGACAAAATTGAAGACATTTACACCATGAATTGATGCATCAACAACCCAAATTTGAGCATTAAAATTCACCAGAATGCAGGAAATAAAGTGTTTGATACCCGAAAGTTTCTGGTGGAGGACCCCTACATCCTGTTTCATATGTGTCCCCCTTAAAGCGGTACAGAAACCTACACCCTTGTGCTCATAAACCCAACGTTTTGCAACTCAATAATCTGACCTGATGATGGTGTTGTGTGTGAAGTCAAGGAATAATCAACGTTGTATCGTGACAGGGGGAAATGAAAATCTTCACTATCCAGTAGCTACTGGGATGTTTCAGCTTGTACCAAAATGGTGAACTGCCTGACCGTGTTGCCTGCTTGTCTAAAAAGAAACACACCATTTGAATTACACAAAACATTTTTAATGACAAGACAAAAAGGAACTGACAATCAGCCCCTGAGAATGTGTTTAAATTATAAAAAGCAGTGATTAAAGCTGACACAGACCCGTCTCACAGACATGGACTAAGTTTACTCCTCTTCCTCAGTGAACAACAGTTCTTTCACTTAACATGATTTCCAATGTCGTGTCAGTGAATCCAGCACCGACTTAACACTCAGTTTCACTGATGTGTATTCCTGACAAAGACATTTAAACTTATAGATGTGATATTGCGACTACTTACAGAGAGAGACGATATATGCTTACCTGCTTTGCTGCTTTGAGTGAAAATACAATAAATAGGGTTTGGAGTGTAACTGTTAACCGTCCTTTCTTAATAAGTTATTACTAACTACTAAGATACCATGATCTGTTTGTATATCTTCAGCTTAACTGCTAAAAGAGCTTCTGTATATCATACTGCTGTACATACATTATGAGCATGTAATACCTCCATTACTGCTGACTTTGCCTAATTCATTGCTAAAGAAAGCTTGGGCCTACGACTAGGTTGTAATTCTCTAGCTTATTGAGGGGAAGACACCAAAGCTTTCATGTAACAGGTTAGATTTCACGTGAGGGCTGAAGCTGTGCTCCTCAGACCAGATCCTCACAGTGCAGACAGCGAGGACAGTGAGTGACACCTGTGCCTCTCAAGGCAGGAAGCATTTACAGTGTGTACTAAAGAGAGGTGAACATAAAGCATGAGCTGGAGGAGAGTTTCTGACCCTGTACAGGATAGGTCCAGATGACAGAGAGCTGCTGCGCTGGAAGTCCGTTTGCATTAAGGCAGATAGATGTGTAAACAGTCCTGGCTTTGGACCGGTTGTCTCTCTCTAGATGTGTATATGTGCACACACACACAGTGCAGGCATGAGTGTGAGTGGTGCCCAGGGAGACAAACACTCCTCGTGTTGGGCTGAACTCAAAGTTAGTGTGCTCCGTGCCCATCCTCCTCTTCCTCACCACCTTTCCTTCGACACAGTTCTCAAAGATAGTGAGGAAAAGATCAGAGGAGTTGTGCATTCAAACCATTCATTCAGCATCCAATGACAACCGATGACGTCTCAGATGCCTTCTTAGCTCGAGGCCATCTTACGGGCTGTACGGTGGGGGCTTCTCATCGGGATGGTTGTGAGGAGGAGAGTAGCGTGGAGGGACCATGGTGGGCCACAAGTGGCTGGCTCCAGACTGGGAGTCATCTGACAGGCCTGAGGAGTCGGGGAACAAGTAGGAGCCCTGCAGGAAATACAAACATTCATCAGAATGACGTTTTTAGAGGTTTTTAATCACTTAATTTGTCCCTGAAGAGCAAAGATAGAATCACAAAGCACATAAATACAAGATAATAAAATTTAAAATTTGTCAGCCTCTCGTTTGGCATCCTCTCAACAAATGAGCAGATGCCATTTCCCTGTGTGTGGTGATACAGTCGGCAGGGGTAGTTCAGTAAAAAGAAAATAGTTCCTGCATTAAACTGCTCACAACAAGGCCTGTGGATTATCTTGAGTAACCGGGTCATAATTTTTGAAAACTGACATTGCTGTTGAGTTTTTCAACTTTACTTTTTTAGCAGTTTGAGCCCTACAAGCCGAGTGCCCTCTAGTTTCATTATTATTTGAGAGAAGGCAGACATCTCTAAGGCCGATATCCAACAACTCAGTTACTCATACCAAAACAATCTAGACTGATAAACAGCACTACAAGTAAGAGGGAAAATATAGATTTTTGATTTGGGGTTGATCTGCCCCCTTAAAAATCAAGATAATCCTCTCACTTACTTTTACCCATTTCTAAGTATCATACAGACAAAAACTGAAACTCTGCTTTCTTTATCAACTGTTTAATTTAGCTGTAGAGAACATTTTTATTTTGACAGTGAGATAATAAAACCAACAGATTAACAGGAAGTGAGAGAACGAAGAATACTGCTGGTATTAAAACATTAAGGTACATGCCGTTTCAAGTCATGGTATAGCCCGACTAATTTCATGTATGTTTCCTTTTTTAAAAAATAGCATTTTAAAGAAACCTTTCATTTGAAGTAGTCATCACTGATAAAGCAGCTGCCAATAAGAAATCAATAACTGTTGGGATGCAGACCAAGCACTGCAGGTTTTCAGTGTCTGTACCTGCAGATCGTAGGCAGTGTAAGGCGGCAGGCAGGGGGCAGTGTTGTAATACGAGTTGAGGGAGGTGTTGGGCGGAGGAGGCTGTGAGGGGACTGGAGCTGTGATGGCCTCTGGTTCAGATGTACTCTCTATAGCAGCAGAGGGAGTCTGACAAGGATATAAAGGATATTGATCAGTTTCTAAAAAACACCAGAGAACTGCAAAACAAAAGCCTCTACATCAGCTCATACCAACAAATTGCATTCTCATCTTTGTAGGTAAATATAGTAAATGCACCCACCATGTCTTTAAAGCCTCCCAGCACTGCAGCAGTAATGATGCCCAGAAAGAGGGCCACGATGTTGAGGATGGTAGCGGACCACAGCAGGTGATAGAGGTGCACCACGTCCTGGCAGCTCTTCACATCTGTGTATTCATGGTAGCCTCCAATCACCTCTACACGGCTGGCCCAGTGGGTGGGACAGAGAGGGAGACGGCATACAGTCAAGCCACAAACGTCACTATAAAGTGTTTCCTTCTTGTATTCAGGACACAATGAAGACAATCATGTTTGATTTATAGAGATAAATGAGTCAATGAAAGATAGAGACACAGAGGATATGGGTGGGTATTTGGTCAGACACAAAAAGGACATGCAAAGGAAATGGCACCCTAAAAACACATCTCTGTGGTGGATTACACCATAAATATTCTACACCATTATGTCAAGCATGAGTTGATCATGAATGGCCAACATGGCTCTAGAAAAAAGGGACCTACTTCCAAATCATGGATGATTTCCTAAACTTTTTCAAAACATCTTTATTCTGAAGTCCCATAAGAGGATGTTCTCTGAAACAAAGGTTAAAAGAAAAAACAAACATTCTTGTTCTAATACAATCAAGGTAGCAGTGCAAAAAAATCTCCCACAAAAATGGCACAAAGGTACACATCAAAAGTCCAAACAATCAAAGCAGCACAGCAAAGTAAGCAGCAGCTGATTCACAGGTTTGTCGGCATACTCACTTCCCGCAGTTGTAGAGGTCGCAACAGTAACAGGTGTTGCCCTTCACACGCAAGTTACAGGATGTGCGCGATGTCTGACAGGGCACCTGAAGGTCACAAATTATTTTATAGTCCCTTCACTTTGAGTCGACCTCTGGCTCATAACAGTGTCCCTACACATCTTAAAGGCTGAAAAGCTAATAACAGTTCAGGTCACACACACACACACTGAGGGTTAATTCAACAGATTTCTGTGGACAGACAGTGAAGTGTGTGTTTCTTACATCACGTTCAGATGAAGTCTCACTGGAGTGATACTCACAGCGCCCAGCATACAGAGGCCTGAGGTCCTGCAGTACAATAAACAACAATTTTGTATATTTTACTGCATGATTTACCACTGGTCTGCTTACAAACACACACTGAATTATGGGTAGCAAAACAAATACAAGACCCTGCACTTAATTAGTGCTGCATGATTAATGACTGTGATGTTAATCATGATTATGGGGGGGAAACTTCATCCATCAAAACCTCGTAGAAGGCTAATAAGCAAGGCTGGATGAGTAACTCGGAAAGATACAGGTTTATTATGTCAATTAGGTTGCAGTAATAGGATTAATTACAGATGTGTTTGGTAATACTGTATGACAACTCACTAAAACATGAGGTGAATGATTAGGGCTTTAAGGCAGCTCATGTATTTTTTGATTTTTTGTTATTTAACATATTTTAAGGAAGACATAGATCACAGCAAAATTCCTCACAGTTACCATTACTGTTTTAAATTTTTACTATCATTAAAACCCTGTTTGAGTACCACGCTTGGAAATACTGTCCAGCATCAACCAAAGTTAGCAGCATTTTGTTTACAGAGTGGGCGTGTAGCAGAGATGCTACCGGTCCCTTGTCCTCATCTAGATTCACACAGACACTCGAGCAAGCATTTAAGAGACAGGCTATCTTAAACATTAATGTGCATTTGCTATTGTTTTCATGTCTTTACATGAGGTTCTTACTATATTATGATTTTTTTCTTCATGCAAACAAAAAGTGCACACTTTTTGGACATGTTCAGCTTATTTTAATAACACTGTTATGATACTGATAACTAAAAAGTTTTGATATTGAGATCAAGAATATCAATTAATATCTGGAAGAAAATGACCTTTATTTCCACACAATCCCTATAAAAACTATAAAGCTATACAACTCAGAAGAGTGGCCTGTCATGAAACTTGTACGAGACTTCACACTAACTAAAAGACTGCTGAAATTGAAGACACTTATTTAAATACTGAAACTGTCCCAGACAACCAGTTATTCTTACTTTTTATGTATTTTTATTTGATTTATGTATTGCACTGTATTGTTTTTGTGTCAGTGTGTTTGTGCTGTTCATATATCTGTGGGAAAAAAAACAACTGAAAATGTTGTCTGTCTAGTTTATTGCCTGGTGCTCCAAACATCCCTTTGCACTTGACTGGAAGCAAGCACTTAAGATGCAAATCATTAACATTGCACATAATTGAATCAATTAACTTATAAAAATATGACTGATGGTTATTTATTATGAGGGATAATTCTGCACTTAAAGGTCCAGTGTGTAGGATCTCGTGGCATCTGGCAGTGAAACTTCTCCTGTGGACTTTGTGGAAGAGGATGCACTTGGTATGTAGATAGAAACGGCTCATTCTAAGTTCACAAATACACAACGATTCTTATTTTCAGGTGGTTATAAACTAATGTGAATATTATATACCATTTCTGCCAGTAGATGCCCCTGAATCCTACACACCGGCCCTTTAATTGTGCAGCCCTTTATGTCACGAATAGTCGGGGTAAAGCAAGAAAGGATCATGTCCTTTGGCACCAAAAATGTGAGCTAGTTTCAAAGGTAAAATTCTGCACCAAACAAATAGATCCATGTAACAAATAGTCTGAACAATTACAATGTGCTGTATGATCATCTGACAGCATCACATTACCTCATCTGTCACTGCCTCACGTTGCTTTCTGCTGTGTACCACCACTTTATAGTTATTTGTACAAAAACATGTCTGAACAGAAATGTAACATTTTCCATTTCACTGACGCCACTGGCAAATGAAATCTGCTAATGGTGCTGAGCTCCCTCTCCCCCGACCCACAACTTATTTTAGCATAATTGTTTTAGAGTGCATTAGTGGTTATTTATTGTTTCGAGTACTTTGCGTCATGACAGAATAATCTCCCTCTACCACAAAATATATTTGTCCTGCTGAGCAGGGTGCAGCAGCTACTACACAGGGCCAATATGCGAGCACTGTCCTTACAGAAGGGCATAAGTTTTACCGTATGTCTGATGCAGACAGAGTATATTAAGCTTTAATGGGGATGGCATTGATTAATCAGCTTGTTATAGGTCGGGGCCATAAGTGTTATCTGTATTCATAATTTATCAGTTTGGTTAAATAAGTAGAAGCTTCAATGATACTTACAATGTGCCTCGCAGCAAACACTCCATCCACAATAGCACAGCAGAAGGCAGCCACCACTCCGAAACTGATGAAGACGATAGATGCCACCAACTGTGCAAGAAAACACCAGCTTCATCAATCTCCATCAGGCTAAAATGATTTTCTTTTTACAGACTATAAAGACAAACGTGGTATTTTAATTTTTAATCGCTTCCTCTCACCACTTTTGTATCAGGTTACATCCTCAACACTAATCTGTATCATCCTGCACATGTGCTCCTCTCTGAGTATGAATACCTCTGAATGGGATGAGGGTGGAGGGGGCTATGCGGGTAGAGGACAACAGTGACAGAGCGCTGTGGCTGTCACCTAGCTCCAGTGGTGTTGGTGGCTGGCGTAGTGCCCAGCTCTTCAGAAGCACTGCAACCCTTAATACCCTCCCTGTTCACCTAACTCTCTTCCTTTCACTCCTCAATGTAAGCAGCATGTATTCAATTACACCATCACCCCACCCTGTCTGCAGCCAGCCTAGCTCACAGGAGGGAGGCAGTGCGAGTGACACAACAGCTAGAGGTAACAGGGATTAATGCCTGTGCCAAGATTTCTATGATGCTGACATGAATACATCCGGTGGCACGTGACTGAAAACCGAGGAATGATCAACAACTCATTCAATATTTAGACAGCTGGGCTTGTCATCCTTAGTTTCTCACTCTCAGCAATGTGGTCCTCCATCAACACACCTTTTTCTGACAAACTAAGAACAATTGTAGTTATTTTAATTGGTTGAAATTTAAATTAGTTTTTGTAAGTGTATTTTTTTTCTGTGTTCCAAACATTTGAATCAAGGTCTGATGACAGCTATAGGGTTGTTTGCTTATGTTGCAAGGCCTCTGTCAATCAGATTGGATCAAAGCACACCCACATAGTCATGATGAAGCAGGTTTTAAGTGTAAAACTCTTAATAAATAGTCCCAGAAGATGTTTTTCTATTGTTACAAAGTTAGTCACGAATACTTGATGGTATGGTGAAATATGTTAGATTTGAAACCAAGCTGACAGGGGCTTTATAGGGATAGTTCACCCTGAAAACCCAAAATACATATTTATCCTCTTACCCGTAGTGCGATTTATCAATCTAGATCGTTTAGGTGTGAGATGCCGAGTGTTGGATATATTGACCATAGAGACGTCTGCCTTCTCTAAAATATAATGGAACTAGATGGCACTCCGCTAGTGATGCTCAAAGTGGGACTCAACAGTCCAAAATCTAAATTTTTTTAATTTACTATCACAAAAGACAAAGGCAGAGTGTAAATATTCACACTTGAGAGGCAGTAAGCCGTGAATTGTTGTGCTTAAAAAATGAATGAAACGATGCACTGTTTATCAAACTACTCAAATAATTTTCAACTAATCATTTTAGCTCTACTGAAAATGTAAGAATACAAAAGTTATGAGTTCCTCTAAAACCCCAAACCATAAAATATGTCAACACATTTTATCCTATCATAACATTTTATGGGAAACAACACATGAGGGACAGCGTGGCGTTTCATGTCATAGCTCAGTCAGCTGAGGGCTCCAGGCATCAAAACTCTGCTGCGCTCTGTGAAAAGGTGTCACCGTACAAACCCATTCTTCATTTCAGCCCTGACAGTCCTCGCCCAGCACCTCCCACCTGCTGCCCTCATCTGCAGTTTCCTTCCCCGCATTCCAGTGTGGACATCCGTCCTCCTCCACTTACACCCCAGTTCTATTTCTGTCTCCGTCTCCCTTGAAGCCCAGGATACTTGCTCCGATACCTAAACCTCCTCAGGCCAAGTGGGACTCACAGTCTGGGTTGGGTGTGCTCTGTCTATTGTCACACTAACAACATAATCAGGCCTGTAGGCTTCCGTAAGGTAATTGGGACTGATGCGTAGTTTTCCGACAGTGATCTCAATGCACAGAGGTAATATAAATCCTCTTACCATCTGCCTCTTGTTCTCTATCAAATGAGCGCCGATAATTCCCAGAAAGGAGCCAAAGCCCAGCTAAAAAGGAGAGAAAATAGCTGTTAGGGTGTTTATTTAATTAGACTACAGAGCTTTGATTTCATAGTGTGGCAAGATAAATCAAGCGTTAAGTGTTTCTGCCGTGCCCTGAGGGAGGCATTTCAGCATGTTTACAATGTTATAAGCTATTATATTATCACTTTTACAGATATTCAATATAAATTTCACATCTTTGTACATCTCTGTATATCATTATTATTATTATTATTATTATTAATACTTATATGTTTTTATTAGGGTTTTTTTTCCACATTATACAGTATGCCATCATCACCCAGCTGGGAGACACACCAAGAGTGGGGGAAAAATAAATTAAAAATTACAAAAAATAAAGTAAGATAAAATAAAAATTAAATAAAATAATAATAATAACATAAATAAAGAATTAAACAGTTAAAATAAACAAAATAATAGTAATCATAGAAACAAATATTATCAAGAATGTAAATAAAAATGAATAAAATCACATGCTAAATAAATAAAATAAAATAAGACTAAATTAAATTAAATTAGATTAGATTAGATTAGATTAGATTAAATTAAATTAAATTAAGATTCTAAAGTGATTGTGGTTATCAGTTACTGGCATCACATTAAGTTTCTTGCAGTGTAGAATTACATCACAACATAGTAGTCCAGATTGCCATTATGTCCTTGATTTTATAAACTGAGCCCTGAGTGGTATATCAGATCCTTTCAAACTTCAAATGAACCACTGCCTCCTAAGTCTCTGTCCATCACATTATATTTTAATGATTTAAACTATGAATCTGAGGAATTTGAGGTCAAAGTTAGAAGAAGCATCTTTAGAAATGTAGCTGACGTTCAGTTGGTTGCTTCCCTGCCCGCTCTTTACTTAAGGCAGAAAGCTAAAAGCTGAGTACTGTGAAGAAAACACATTTATGGACTGAGATACTTTACCTCACTCAGCCTCTAATGACAGCGATGCTGAATAATGAATGTGGGGAAAATTCACCCCGAAGAGACCTCCAGTAATTAGGTTCATGAGGAGTCCAGGGGCGGAAAGAGCTGGCTGGAGATACTCTCACATCACTCACACCTCACTTATGAACTCTGACAGTGGACGGGCCTGCTGCTGTGGCATGCAGATGTGAATGTGCACTCACAATGACTCCTGGGTAGTAGCCGCCCACTGTGATGTTCTGCGTCCTGGTAGTCGCTGCCAGGCCAAAGATGAGGATGAGCACGGATACGATGAGCAGCAGCACCGTCACGATTATGGATTTCCTCTTCCTCCTCTTAAAGGAACCTACGAGACAACAAATGAGGGAACCTTACTGCTGTGACGTGAATGGAAAAGTAATGAGTAAGATGAGGCTGAAGCTGGAATCCACCACAAGCATTGATGCAATTGGAAGAAGTTAAAGAGACTAATGACTGGACTGGGCTCTCTCAGTATCACTGACATTAAGTGGCCAATTCTGTTGAAGTAGTTCATTCTAAAAATGTCAATAACTGCTAATGTTGCTCATGATGGGAGAAAAACATGGCTTTTACGCCAACATTAATAACAAAGATCACAGATAATTTGGTTGAGTGGGAAAACTTCCTTACATGCTCCAAAACTATTTGCAGCCATTTACAATGATTTTTTGTTGCTTTTTTTTTCACCTCAAAGCACATGTAAGACTTAAAGTAAATATACCAGTGACCAGCTGTCATGACATTTACAGTAAAGAGGCTTTTTCTAGCCTCTCTAAGTTTAAATAAGGGGCGTCCAGATGTCAGAAGACTTTGAGATGATCAAATAATCGCAACATTAAAAAGCTGCTTAAAAGGGCCCCCCATCTAAATTAAGAATTCCAGTATGTTATTTCCATGGCCTCGGAAAGTTCAATCAATATTTGTGAACATGAGCTACTCTCTCTCAAAGCCAAGTCTCAAACTTGTGATGTCATCAAGAATAAAGTCTGGAGCTGCACCATAGGCAATGAATGGAAGACTGATTTTGTGAAGTCACACGATGATTAACTGTTTTTTATACCAAAATAAGCTTGCCTGGGTCCAGATCTTTGAATCCATATTCTCCATTGAGTTCCTATTGACTGATTCTTCTAGCACTGTGACATGAAACAGTGGTTTCTAGTCAAGCGGTACACTGGAGTTGTTTGTCATTGCGTAGTCAAGCAGTGCATTGGAGTTGTTCATCATTGTTGTTATAGACAAGATAGATGGTGCTACTGAGGATGTTCTAAGCCAACATATCTTCTCGATATCCTCCCAAAACCTAAGTTTATTTTACTCTGCTCCCCTCCAATCCCACAACCCTGGCAAAACAGGTATGTTGGTGTGACTATGCATCAGCATGAACTTAATATAACATTAGATTCAGGCGAATACGTTGGTCTCTATTGATATGTTAGGAAAAATTAAATCCCCCTCCCCCAAAGAAATCAGGTAGTGTGGACACAATGCCAGACTGAAGACTGAAATGCAGTGTACAGAGTTGACAATTCTGTCTGATATCAGACAACGATCGACAATGATTGGCACCCTGATTCTGTGTCAAACCACAGAACGTTTTCCTTTGTTTTACACATAAATGAGCTTTATTCTACGATAGTTTTCTCAATTGTGACACAGAAAATGTACCCACCTAATCAGAACATCTCCCTGGGTGCACTTATACCCCTTTTCCACCAAATTAGCTCCAGTTCTTGAACCGATTCTGTTCAGCATTCTTGGAACCTTGGTGCTATCTACTGAACCAGCCCCTATAATATCGGCATCAACATGCTTTTTCTTATTTTGCACAATGAATGAATATTACATACATTGAAAATTATTGTACTTCTTGTCTCCATCTTCTGGTGGGCCATCACGCATCATCATAATCATAATCATCATGCATAATATGATGTTAAAGCCACCACAGAGGAGACTTGATGATCACTAAAATTTGGTATGGAAAAAAGTGGATATATCGATATCAGTATCAGTCATGGGCCATGTAAGTTGTTATATATCTGCATATCGGATATTGGCATCAAATCCAATATTGTGTATCCCTATATTTGATTTTACAAAAAAACCCAAATATGGACCAACTCTGAATGAGACCACTGCAAGCTCTTTTTTTCTTTTGTCTCATATACCCACTGATGTTGTCACAGTTCGCACTTCAAGTCAAGAAAAACCTGCTATGTTTTGATTCCTGCAGAGAACCAAATCCTCAGGTTCCAAACCGATTTATTTTTGGCTGAAATGCTCTGAATGGTTCAACATTACGTGCAGGGCCTGGACAGGAGCCAGTTCCATGTTGGTGTTAAAGGGGTATCAGTGTCATCCCAATTTGTTGTCCGTGTTGCAGCCTTGGACTTTATTCATGATGACATCATAAATTTTAATTTTAGCACTCTAGTTTTTGAATATGGAGGAGAGTTGTTCATGTTTACTAATAGTTTTGGATTGTCTCACACCATAGGGATACCCTGTTTGAATTTTAAAAATGGGTCTTGTTGTCTGACGACCTTTGTTGCATGTGCTTATGTCCACACAACTGTCTGCTGTATTCTGACTTAAAAAGGCATTAGAGTGTTTTTAAAGGTCTAAATAGGTGTGAATACCTAACATACATACATAAACATAAACAATACTAAAAATATAACAATATGCACAATCAACAACAAAGGCAACTATAAACTCAAAATGTGCCAAAGATTTTCCATTCAAGGGTCAAATAGCCTTAAAGTATGCACTTCTTATGTAGTGTAGGGCAGCACAGATATAACCTCCTCCCTGCTGGCTGAAAATCACCTCTAACCACGTTCAGGCCCTTTTGGTGAGGTAAAATTATATAAACCGAGGAGAGATGGGAGGGAGCGGCCTGTCATTTTAGATGAAGCCTTAACTAGTTTCTCTGTAGCATTTGTTTTAGCATGACCGACAGAGGGAGGTCCATCTGCTTCTGACTAAAACACTCAATCTACTTTATCTTCCTGTATTTCATTCTGCAGTGCTCAGAAAGCTCATCACAACATTGTCATAGATCAACTAATAGATCATCCACATCACCTCTATATTCTGTTTTATCAATTTTTGGAAATAGAGCAAGCCATGGACGTCACTGCTACTGAATTATGATGCCCCCGCTTCGTGATCAATAAGAACTCAGAACTCACTGAACAGGAACAGCAAATGGTTTCTGTCAAATTTTCTCACCGGGGGGCCAGCATAATGACAGCCTCTGATGTTAATGATCCCGAAATGTATGTAGAGCTGGGTGTTATATTACAGTAACAATTATATTGTGATGGGACTACATTTCCTCTGGGAATGCATTTATTGTCATTCAGTATTGCAGATTGTTTTCACTTCCCGGTCTCAAATGCTAAATTACAGTTAATTGAAATAATGCGGCTGTTTGCCATAAGTGAAATTAATAATAAATGTCTCGTTTTTCCATTATATCACATCCCCATAGTTTCAATCTAAGAGACAAAATCATCCTCTTTATCTTTACCTCATTATCTGATTGTCAATATAGGTTTGCAGCAAAACACTGTTGATACGTTTAACAATGTCAGCTTCTTCTGGCTCTAACTCAAAACCATGCAATGCTAAATTTGTTTGTTACTGTAGGAGGTCTGCCTGAGATCAGGGGACTAAAAGCATGCATGCAGTTATGGGAACTGTTATTTGACTTATAGTGAATGCTGCTCATGTAGAGGTGAGATTACTTTTGTTCAACATTACCTGCATACTATTACAAAAGTAGCTATTTTAAGATTAATCCATACAACAGTTATATATGATCTGTGTGAATGAGTGATTTCGATTACACCACCAAGATGTGCCTCTTCAGTCCAGTGATGCTCAAATAAGTGACCACTATTATTTCTGAAACACTGCCTCACAAGGAATAAGACATCTAAAGCTAACTTGCACACATGCTTCCCTGACTACAACAATGAACAATCTACTATCTAGTGAGAGTTACCTGTTATTGACTGCACTAACATGAGCAAAATACATTCAGAGATTTTCCCCTACATGCATTTATTTCTTTGATTTTCATGTCAGCAGCCGAGCATCCTGCCAAAATCTGTGTCAGGCAGTTAACCATCAGAGCTAAATACATCCAGGCTCCTGTGGTTACTCAACGTCGCCGCACCTGCAGTGACGCGCTGCGGCCTGGACCAAAAAAAAAAAAAACCCACAACGGTCTGGTGATGCAACGAGTGTTTTTGTCTGCTTTTGAGAAGGAAAAAACAAGCTATATTTATCATCGGACATAAATATCAAATGTGAATGATCTAAATGTTAGCCTTGATGTGATTAAAATAAGATTCAGCGTGCAATAAAATCCCTGCAGTGTGGTAAAGCGAGTTTATTATTTAATTGGTAAAACCTGCTGCAGACACACCGGTGACCTTGCACACACCTACCTATGCTTGTTTCAGAGAGGGTCAGTCCGCTGGATTGAAGGCTCTGAGAAGGAGGCATGCTGGCTGGAGGATGTTTAACGTAATCCGCCGGACGGTCCTCTTGGAAATTAAATTTTAAGAAAACAATAATCACGACTCCGTGTTGTTCGCTATGTTATTTAACTGTGAATAATCATAAGCTAACGCAGACGGCGTGTTCGCTTGCTGTGGCATTCTCTGACAATATCAACAGCCCTCCGTCCGAGCACAGCCCGAGCCCGTCTCATTTACATCCTCGCTGCTGCTGATTCGTCTGTCGGTCTCCGTCCTCACGGTGTGTCGGTGTCGGGACGGTGGGTCGCTGCTGCTGCTGCTGCTGGTTGTATGTGCGCATGTGTCACACACATACTCAAAAAACAAAAACAAAGTACTCAGTCGTTACTTGTTTTAGAGCAAGTGTAACGACACTTAGCTAACATATTATCAGTTTTCCCCGGAGTATGTGACCGTTACAGCAATTAACGTTACAAATAATGAGAATGCATTTTAACAACGTTAACGTTACTAATACAGGAAAGTAACCTAATCAGCTTACAGGTCAATAGCATACATGCTCAGGGTTAAAAAAAAAAAAAAAAAAAGTTCATGGGACAGCCTGCTTTACATCACAGAGTCCAATAAATCATATTTGAGGTCACAGAATAAAATGGTGAATGATGACAGTAATTTATATAGTTGATATTCTCCTAATAATGTCATCTCTGTCGATAAAATACACATATACATTCACCAAATCTTCCGCCATTTTGAAGATAATTAGCTTCTTTAACGGTTAACATTAACCTTACAAGATGAGCTAGGCAAGCTTTAAGGTAACTAAACAAATCGGGAAAATGGGATTGTGATTTTAAATAAAGGCTGTACAATTTCCTCATTGTCTTAAAGTTATGGTAACAAACGTTACAAATAGTGGGAATACCTTCTTAAAAAACGTTACTAATATAGGGAAGTAACTGTAGTCGGTTTACTGGTAAATACCATACATGCTCAGAACTTGATAGGACAGCCTGCTTTACATCACATATAAATCATGTTTAAGCTAGCATAATACCAGTTTTCCCCGGAGTACGTGACCATTACACCGCCATGTCAGTTACTTTCCCTTACAACCTGTCAGTGGGTCACAAAATAAAATGGTGAACAGGTAATTAGTTGATACTCTCATAATAATGTCGTCTCTATCGATAAAATACATATATATACATTCACCAAACCTTCCGCCATCTTTACGATAGCAAGCTTCTTTAACGTTAACGTTCCAAGCTAACGTTACAAGATGAACTACGGCAAGCTTTAAGGTAACGGAACAAATCGGAAAAATGGGTTTGGGATTTAAAACAAAGGCTGTTCATCTTCATAACTGTCTTAAATGTATAGCAACTAACGTTACAAATAATATAATGCATTTTAAAACGTAACCAATATAGGAAGGTAACTAATCTGTTAAGATATCAATAGTACCTGAGGGTTTATCAAGCAGAGGAAAAAGGTTTACGTGACAATCTGCTTTATATTACATAGAGTCCAATAAATCATGTTTAATATGTTAAATTATTCCATAGTATTATTTGTGTCATAGACGTGGAGGTTCTTCTGGTGGTCTGGGAGACAGTTGAAGTTGGAGCAGACACAGGTCAGGGCCGTGTTCAAGCCGAGCACCGAGCGCCATCATGTGTCCACAGTACAACGTTGCGTTCAAAACTATCAGACATTCGGGGAACTGCCTGGGAACAGCACATGAATTATCTAATAAAGTGGCATATGCTGCGTTCAGGCACGTCTCTTAGGGTTTTAAGCGGGTTTTAGGTTTTAATCCCTGAAGACAATTTTTTACACAATTCCTTCTAGTCCGGAATAAAAAAAAGGAACTCATACGTTTTGTTTTGTACATTATATTTTATTTTAGGTAAGCTATTAAGGTAGACAGTACCATTTGTAATAGCAGCATTAAAAAGGAGAAAATCTAAGTTAGATATGACACTGAAAATGCACAGCAACCAGACATAAATATGTTGCCTAAATTTTCCTTTTTAATCATTCTCCGCCTTTGTACATTTATTTTTTTTACACCCGGTTTGCAAATTTATCTGCTAAATTGTCAGGGCTATAGCTTCTTCTTTTCTTCTGGGAATTTGAGGGTTTTACCAGCAACAAACTAATAAATGACCAGATAAATTAATATGATCAAGTGTAACTTTGTTCCTGGCCCCGTTAAAAAGTTTTTGAAACATTATTTAAACATTATTTATACCTTAATGCAGGGGAAATACATATTCTGTTTGATTTATTATATGCCTTAAATTCATTAAAACATCCAGAATTTAGTTAACTGAATAAATTATATATAAATATTGGCTACAGCTCTGCAAATGCAGCATTCATACAGCCTAATAATTAAAACATGTTTTGGGCTATTTCCCAATACAATGTCATGTTGCTTAAGTAGCATACCCCTGCCCAAAAAACTTGTATATGTCAGGAACACTTGACTGACATAAAGTTCAGTGATGAATTTTTTGGAATTTGCGAAGGTAATGTTTTTTCAGAAGCAACAGAGTGCTTGTTGACAATTACCTGAAAGGCTGCTGATTTGATCTGGGGCTCTGTGTTCTTGGTAGCTGGCATACTGTACATCTACAGTGCTCCTGGCAAGGCACTGGAACTTCCCAGATTGCTCTGAGTAGGGCTGGATTATCGACCGAGCAAAATGGGCATCCTCAATTAATGTGTTTACTCAAATTACCACACATCATCATCTGTGGCCAAATCATATTGCAGCAAAGAAAAAAGTGCACATACACAGAAAGAGGTTAACAGGGGCCCAGCAGCTCATCTGTGCCCTGGGGCCCTCTAGCAGGTTAATCCAGCCATGGAGCTTGCCCCTGCACTAATGCATATGTAATCACTTGTAGGGGACAATGCATTAAATATGTAGCCTGCAGTTACAAGTAAGAAGTAATCAAGACACTTTTAAATGGCATAAACCAATAAGAAAAAGTTAAATCTTCTGTATGGAAGTGATACATTCTATAAGTTTCCCTGCAAAATGTCCTGGTGATTTTTGCTTCCCTGCAAATGTCTTCATGTTGTGGGAAAAGTCATTGATCTTCACTGTAAAATACACACACATAAACACACACACACGAGCACGTGCACGTTTTTGCCGCGCAAATCTCAAAGAAGAGATTTTTTCCATGACGCAATTTCTCTTTTCATGTAAAAGAAGAGGGGAAAAAAGTCCCCCCTCTCCCACTTTTTACATGGGGTAACAGCGTTACGTGACCGGCGTACAGAAAGGATCAGGGATGAGGACAACTTGAACTTCCACAGAGGGAAGCTTATGGTAAGCAGTTGCTGCAGGAGTGTATGAAGCTGCTGGCGATGGCAAGTGGATCAATACGCATGCATGTGCAGGGACAATACCTGATGACTGATATTTCATTTCTGATCCTTTTGTGTCATGTTGAATATATGCCCAATCAATAATCATTATAATACCATTTAAAAAATTGTCTGAGTCTTTGTGCACGTACAGTATGCAGCCAGACAATGATTGACAACAGTGTCCTGTGTTGGGATAAGCTATAAATATTGTATTCAGGATTTGCCTCAGTCTTAGCCCAGCTTAGCAGACAATGGCTAATGGTGTGCGTGTACTGAATGCAGTGTTGTGGTCCAGGCCGCTGCCAAAACGTCTCCAGGACCAAAAAAAAGCACTTTGTATCCCACCCCCAGTTTTTCTCTGTCCAGCGTTCATTCACTATGATGCGCGCTTAGTCGCAGGAGGCTCTCCACACCCGGTCCCCTCTGCATGCCTAAAACTTTTTTAATGAAATCCCCAAATACTTTTTGACAAACATTATTTTTTTTCTCCGGGAGTCAAGCAGGCTTTCGACACACTAAGACGCGTTTTTATTGCCAAGAAAACTTAAGGTATGTCTTTTTATCTCTCATTCAAACTTTATTTGTCACATTTAATGATTACTTCTTGTGTCTGATTCTGGTTTGCAAAGTTATTCAGATAGTTTGAAGCTGTTTAGAAAAGTTTTGCAAATGTTGTTGAGCTTGCAGATATAAAGGTGTGTCGCTTTATCTCAATGGCTTGGTCGATGTGATTGGTTTAACAAGTACCTTTTCCTTCTGTGAAGAATATGGAGCCCAGTTCCACAGAGGGAGGAGCTGAAGAGAAGCTCATTAAAAACCATCCACCAACTGTTGTAAGTGCTGACGTTAAATAGAAAACATATCACTTTATAATCACTTTATTCACTTGAAGCAGATGCATTGATTAAGGCATGTTTCACATGAGCGCTGGAGTTATTTTTCATAAACAGAACAGTTATTAATAACTCAATAATCAAATGATATAATTAGCACAAGATTTAAAGCTACTAACAACATTTAACAGCAGATTATTTTAAAAGCCAACCTCTCATAAATGAAATGACTTTTCGGTGACACTCTCAAGCGTCCTGCGGCTCCTCTGGGATCTGTGTGTCCTGGCCTGTGGATGCTGAGAGTCAGTGAGTAACATCTGGCTGTCAGAGTGACCCTCCAGCTCTGCTGTCTGCAGCTGCTGCTCCAAGCAGGAGGGTCCACTCAGAGGAGGTCAGCTCTCCCAACGAGTGCCAGAGAGGTCACCAGCGGGTTTATAATTTGCAGAAACAGGGGACAGGACCATCAGTGTGATGTTCATTAATATGCAGAGCACACTCTGGCAGTTAATATCGTCGGTCATACTCGGATCAGAAGGCATGCCATTTTTTTCCTGCAGTGATTTGAAAAGACAATAGGTTGACTGCAGAAACGTAGCAGTTGAGAATATGTGTGGTGAGGGCTTTTTCTCTCCTTCTTCTATCCACCAGCCTCACAAAGTGCTACTCAAACATGGCCAAGAGTTGGAGGAAGAGCAGGAGGAGTTGGCCGAGCACCAGCCGCTAGAGCAGGAAGACCTGAACTTTGAGAGATGGAAGCGCAGGCCATTACCCAAGAGGACGCTCCACCAGAAAATAGACGACATTAAGACATACCTGTGGAATGCAGAGACCAACGAATTCATGGGTCGCTCTGGGAAGAGCTGGAGTGAGTTGATGTTAAAGACAAGTTTTGTGTTGTTTTTTGGGGGGGGGGGGGCGTTTGGATTAATGCAAAAGTACTTTATTTTTTACTGTTTAGTAATTACAGATCTAAAATGGGATGCTTTACAGTTGAATGGTCTTAAACAAGAGACATGGTGTTTAAATGTCTTTAAAAGATGCACTCTGGGGTTAGAAATGTCTCTGCAGTCTAGTGACTCTGCTCACTGTGCTGCGAGTGTGTGTGTGTCCTTATGCTCAATGTTTACATAGGTGCATGGACAATTCAGAGTGGCCCGACAAAAACAGACTGCCTGGGGACGTATCCCCAGCGGGAGCTCACTGTCCCGGCCTCGCATTGGCCGGGAATCACATTCCTCCACATCTTACCATGCTCTCCACAGCCTCTTTCCCAAAGCCTTGGCGACCTTATCCTTGAACTTAACATGCTTATGGCCCCTTAGTTGCAGTTAAACACGTAGAGCTCACTGCCAAACTGACCTTTTGGTGCAGGCGAACTTTATTTGGCAGAAGCCACAGACTGGACGAGTTTGTTGAGTCAATGATGATGGAGCAGCCTCTTGGTATTCCAGGGTAGCTGCCATGTGACGCTGTTGAGCCCCCTCCCTCAGCTGCACTGTACACAATGTGCAAACATGATCCAACTGAGTGCAGAGAAAATATCCAAGGAAAGTGTGTGTTACTTGCATAAGCTGAAATGCTGGATCCCAGGCAGGGCTAAGAGCTCATTTCAGCCACAAAACCAGTGTGTGCACACTTGTGGAGGAGTGGGGCCCATGTGTCCGACGAAGAAAGGCCCTGAGTTGAAGTCTGTGCTGTGTGTCCTGTGAGACGAGTGTGTAACAGGGGACACAATACCAGAGTGGGGTGATTGGGGCTCCTTGGAGCTGGCTGGGCCTCTATGGCTGCAAAAGACCTTCACTACGATGGCAACCGGAGGTTCACTGTGTTCCTGAGTGAAAGGACAGCTGGGAGAATTCTCACTGAGCTCAAACAGAAAGGCCTTTGTGGCTCCGGGACGCAAGGCTGGCTGCAGCTAGTCCCCTGTGAAATTGCCCGCACAGCAAAAGCCATTTAATTTAGGGCACGTTTGGCTTGATTAGTTGCTAATGGACTGTTAATTGAAAATTGCAGAACAATGACAGTTCTTGGGGTGTCTTTGTCAAGGTGTTCTCAGGATAGTGGATTTTATACTAAAACTATTAGTTATTTGTAAGTCCAGACACGAGGGGAGGACAGTGCTTTTGTATGAGTAAACAAATTAGTGACCATCCTGATCAAGGACAGTAGCTGGAGTCCAGACAGACCACACAGCCTGAAAAAAGGGAATGGTTCATTGTTTTTCTCCACTCAGATCAGATAAATGATTCGTTGAGAGATGTCTGTTATGTAAGCAACTTTTTTTTGCAAACACTGCATCAGGAATATTCAGCCTAACATCTTATCTTCTCACTCCTCTTTCAGGCCTTATCCTTCTCTTCTACGCTGCACTTTATATCTTTCTTGCAGCCATGTTTGGCGGCTGTCTGTTTTGCCTCATGTGGTCTATTAGTCCCTACCATCCAACCTTCAATGATAGAGTGATGCCACCAGGTAAATATAACCCCCAAACTTAAACCACTCCGCTGCATCCTGTGCTGTCGCTTTCCTTTCTGCTCAACCGTCCTTCAGTCTGTTGCTTCTACTTGAGTCTCAGCACAGTTGACTGTCTCTGGGTCTCCACTGGCAGGTATGACGATGGCCCCACACCTAGAAGGCCACGAGATTGCCTTCAACGCCTCTGATCGCAAATCCTGGAAGAAGTATGCAAGGTCTATGGATGAATATCTAAGACGTGAGTCAGCAGTGATTGAGGAGAGTGATGATAAAGATAAAGGGGTTAGATGAGGTTGTTGAGTTTGTCTAACATTAAGCAGGCATGCAGTGAGTTAATCCTCATCTTCACTACCTTTGTCCCCTTTTTCCATTTGGTTCTTGCAAGGCATGCTGGGAAGGGAAGCCCCTTTGTGGGCAGAGTGCAGCCATTCAATTTGGTTTTTTTTTTCTCACCCTGCTTTTGTCAAGCTTCCTTAATCAGAGGCCTGAGTCTGGCAGAGCATTGCTGTAGCAGGGGTTTATTTATGTCCTCCTCTCTCATTCTCCCTCCCTCCCTCTCTGCCTCTCTCTCCCTGCCCTCCATTTTCAGCGTATAACGATGGCGCTCAGGAGAGGAAGAATATTCGCTGTGCACAGGACAGATACTTCATGCAGGATGACCTGGAGGAGAGTGCAGAGCGGAAAGCGTGTCAGTTTAAGAGGTCCTGGTTGGGGGAGTGTTCGGGGCTGCAGGACCCCCACTATGGCTATTCTCAGGGAAGGCCATGCATCCTCCTCCGAATGAACCGGGTAAGATGAGTGTCACCAAAACCTGTAAAACAGCACACTACAAAGAAAAGAGGGAACATAAAACAGCAGGGACACAGTTTGTTACTGGACTGTTGGAGCTCACGGTTTTCTCAGTGAGTGACATCTTGTGGCCGTCTTGGGGAGAGGCTGAAGAAGCCATTTGAGCACTACTTTGTGTCATGGTTAACATTTTGTATGGTAATTAATGCTAAGTCATATTCTTACATTTTTAATTCAAGTTAAAATTAAACTTTTGCTAGGATTTTTTTCGATGTATGTATTGACATCCTTCTGGAGTTCAGTTTGAAGCAAAGACGGTGGACAGTGTGCCCATCACAGGAAAATAGAATACAAAGGAAAATGAGAGGTTGTCCACACACTGAAATTTGCAAGCTACCAAAATCTTAATTAATGCAACATTTCGACCTGCAAAGTCTTTGTCAGACAAACATCCAATGGAGTTCAGTTTGAGGCCATTCATTATCTGTAACTACTTATCCTATTCAGGGTCGCAGGGTGGCTGGAGCCTATCCCAGTCTGAGGTGTAGATTTTAGATGGACCCCTAAATTCTTATGTGCCCTTCCCAATGTTAAACAAAAGCTACGCCCTTGATCCCATGCCATCAGAAGAGAGGCGATGTACAACCTAGACAAGTCGAGACAGACAACCATTCACACTCATATTCACACCTACGGCCAATTTAAGGTCACAAATTAACCCAGCCTGAATGACTTTTGACTGTGGGAGAAAGCCGGCCAGAACCCGCAATATATTTTATATTTTGAAGCATTTATACCACAGTAATACAGACTTCCTTGGAGTGAATATCATGCCTCGTTTCATATAGTTAATACACAATATAAGGGAGTGAAAGAGGTCAAACAAGACAAGAAAATAAGACACAATAAAATTAAAAGCAATAATAATTGTAATATTGAAAAACAAATAAATTCACTTACTACTGTTTAACTAAAGTACTCCCCCATCCCAACCTTACCATCCCTGCACAGTGCTACCTAAATAGATAAAGATTAGTGATCATCCCTTCCATAACATTGGTCTCCAAGTATTTTCACATTACTCCAGTCTGTCATTTCTTTCTTACTATTCTCACTTTTCGATAGATTCTTGGGTACTTACCAGGCCAGGGCAAACCAATTAATGTGACCTGTGGAGTTAAGGTACAGTAAACCACCATCACTTTTAATTTTATCTCTGCAACATGTCTGAAAACTACAAAGAAACATGATTTCTTCCTCTTGCAGAAAGGACCTCCAGAAGCCCTGGGACAACTCCAATTTTTTCCTAAAAGCCTTTTTGACCTGAAGTACTATCCATACTATGGGAAGCTCAGACATGTGAGTGGGTAACATACAGGCAATTTTATTTAAAGGGGAACTACGCTGATTTTTAAAATTCATACATGTTACTGTTATGGTCTAAGACTGTCCGAAAAATATATGTAAACATGAACAAGTCTCTTTAAATAAAAAAAAACAGAGTGCTAAAACTCAAATTTGTGATGACATAAGGTTTAAAGTCTGGAGCTGCTCCATAGATGATGAATTGAAAAAAGTCTTCTAGATGACACTGAGAGCACCCAGGGGAAAATATTTTCTGTTTCACAACTGAGAATTTGGGTATAAAAAAAGAAAACATCATGTGGGCCCACAAAATCAGCCTCCCATTCATTGTCTTTGGAGCAGCTCCAGACTTTAGACCTGACAACATCATAAGTTTGAGCCTTTTGTCTCTGGTTTCTGATTTTGAGAGAGAGTAGCTCATGTTCACATGACACAACACTTATTAAGCTTTCCCATAGAAATAATATATTGGAATTCTTAATTTGGTGGTGTTCTCCTTTAAATGACCCCCGTCACGTCTTGACCTCTCGTGTCTCACCTGTCTCAGGTAAACTACTCTTCACCGGTGGTGGCTGTGCGTTTTGCAGGAGTGCAGTACGACACTCACATCCAAGTACAATGCAAACTGAACGGAAAGGGCATCATTAACGATTCACCCACTGACCGCTACCTGGGCAGTGTGACCTTCTCCTTGGATGTCGGAGCGTAAGTCAAAGATGTCGCTGCCAGCAGGATGCTCCCGTGACAATGAGGCAGGAAAAATGTACAAGGGAAAAAAATTTTTTTTGAAGCATTATTTTCCATGAAATATGTAATTTCCCTCTCCTCATCTTTCACCTAAATATCCACGTCTTCTGCTGTGAAACAAATTCCTCAAGAAGTAGTCATTTACACTTTTGTTTGTGTTGTATCTTTGTATCTTGAGCGTGCTACTGGCACCTGCACCCACAACAAACAGTGCTGAGCACAGGACGACTGCGTAGAGCGAGTTACAGTTCCTGATATTTTGTAATGATTAGCGAGATTAATCAAACTAAATTACACTCTGCCCAATAGTTAGTGTTTCTGGCTATGCAAATCCAATTATGACTTAAAACATTACTAGGCGATTAGAAAATATTGTTGTATCAGGTTAGATTATGGTTTTGTGTGCACAGTTCCGTGTGACAACGTGTACTAATTTGTCTTGAATTATATTTTTCAAACATGTATATTGTAAGAATTCAAAGAACTATCATGCAAACACTGAAAGCAGGACTTGTACTGTACTTACACAGTAAAAAAGATATAATAAATGACTGCAAATACACTATTACTATATTTTTGTTGAATAGAGCAGTATTATACATTTATGATAAAGCATCACAAGCCACTTCTTGCCTTCTTTTGTAAAAACATTTGCTTTTGAAAATGAAATACTACACAAGACTGATCAATAAAGAGACATGCTGTACTGTGAAATAGTTTGTCAAAGGTCTGTACCGTTATAAAAAGTATAACTATTGTGTGATAGTATTAATCCTGTCTGAACTGTGCTACTAAACATGATATCAATGTTGTATTTATTCCTATTATAGTTCTTATAATAAATACAATGTTCTGGTATGTACTGTAAGTTTTCTTCCACATGGGACTGACAGGCTGCATCAACTTAAAGAAATCACTTTCAACACATCATTTTCAGTTTAACTCTACAAGTGGTATAGTTTGGTCATAGTATAAGTAAGTATGTAGTTTTGGAGGTAAATAGGCTATATCTGAACATCTGTCTTCTGTCTTTTTCTAATTTTATGATCATTTTAAACCCACTCAGACATCTGCTGCAGAAAATTACACTCTTCTTTTGTTGTACAACAACCAGAGGTGTGGACTCAAGTCACATGACGCAAACTTGAGTCACAAATTTGAAGACTTGAAAAAACTTGAAAAAAGACTTGAAAAAATCAAAGAAGACTTGCAACTCAACTTGGACGTCAACACCAATGACTCGTGACTTCACTTGGACTTGAGCCTTTTGACTCGGAAATATTTGTAAACTTCCCCCAAGCTCACAGGTTAAAAAGTTTATTTAAAAAGTGTACCTTAAATCAATTAATTTCCCTTCATTTACTAAAGTAACTAACACTTAAGCTATTAGTTCTCCGCAAGTCAACATTAAATTCCCCAGATCCATTTCCTTTGAAGGAATCCAACAGCATCCAGTCAAGTTGCAAGAGAGAACCATGACGAACTAATGTTACCTTACTGATAATCTCCTGGAAAAAATTATACCAAAGATAATTGTATGTCTACAAAAAGTTTGAGGTGGTCAACAAAAAACAAAATGCAGTTTGCAAAACATGTGGGTCAGAAATTGGAGACACAAAAACTTCCAACAAACGTGGTTTCACTAATAAACAATTTAGAAAGCATTCATGTTTATTTATTTTTAAATATTAATTAGTCGAGGACTCGAAACTCAAAGTTCATGATTTGGGGCTTGACTTGAGACTTGAGTGCAAAGGCTTGAGACTTACTTGTGACTTGCAGAGCAATGACTTGGTTCCACTTCTGATGACAGCTGTAAACACATCTAATTTTCATATTGGTTATACACGAGTAGTTTTTACTTGTCACCCTCTAATAAGTGTATCTGGATTTCTGTTACTGGAGTTCAATAACAGTAGTTTGTTTAGAGGTCTAACAGACCCCATCCGGGCCAACAAAAAGAGGATATAGTTCATGCATTCTCACATGACTTTCACAATGTGAAGTATATCCTTATTTGTTGTAACAAGACTAAAAATCTACAGCCATAGCTGCTCTGTGAGGCTGTACTGAGGCGGTGCTTTGAGCTAAATGCTAACACCTCTTACTGTAGTTTAGCTTGTTAGCCACTACAGCTGAGGATGATGAAAATGTCATTGGTATTGCAGGCAGTTGTCGATGATGATGGTACTAGATGCACAGGAGAAGGATCAACATTCAGAGCCTTCAGCATCTCAGGGTGAATCTGATCCACATCTGGGACCTTGACACTGAGGAGTTAAATATACTTTGAATTCTGAAAGTAAAGTTTCAGAATCATGTATTTTATAGAAGTGGTGCATTTGTGTGTATATATCACTTTAATGTTGCAGCAGGTAAAGGTAGAGCTCATTTTAATTATTTCATGCTGCTAATAGCTTTACCCAAAAAAACAGAAAATAAAATAAAATGGTGTGACCTCTGTGTAAACCAGCATATCTGTCTGATTTCAGTAAGAACTGGAGTGAGAGTCATGCCTCTGGTTATAAAAGACACACCGTTGATCAAAGTCTAACGTACATTTTGAGCAATTGCTCTAGTTTACTCAGCAGTGTGAATGTTCAGTGTTACAACCATTAACCTCTGAATTCAGTTGTCACAAGACCTTCCTGTTCTGCACACCTCACAACTACAAGCAGTAAAGCCGTTAAAAAGAATGACAGTGATACAAAACAAGAACGAAACTTTATTTAATTTGTTCCCCACTTGTGTTAAACAAGCTCATCATGTCACATTCTTCATCAGATGGAGACAAGCTTCAAGCAAGCAACTTAGAGGTGCACAACAGAAAGGCACGAAACTGTCTGGGGGAGGGGAGGAGTGATCGAATGTCACTGAGGGCCATATAAATGAAACGGTGTGACTTAAATATCACTCATGACCTGCTCATGCTGTATATTACTGCTCTATCACATGGAGGGTAGTGTCAGGAGAAATTAACGTACATTCAGTCAAGGTTGATCCTGCTGACCAATGTAGGTTTGAAGTTTTATCTCATACAGGACTATGAGGGAACAACACTGTAATTAACTCACCAAATACTTTTCTTTTAAAAGAAGTGAACATTTCAAGAAAATAAATCTCCCTAACGTGAGTGACAGAAACATAAAACATCACACAATTCCCCAAAACAACAAAAATAAAGTGGTCCCAATGCTGGTAAAGTGTCTCAGTTAGTGTCCCTTTCATCAAACTACAATTAAGTGACTATATGTGCAACAGGTAGTGTTTGAGTTACGTGTTAATTTATGTTACATGTGGGTTAAAAATAACGTGAGAACAGTGTGGCGTCGGGGATGTGAATGAGTGGAGCTTGCTCGTTACATTCACGTCATCAAAAGTCAATGTCATTCATTCTATACAAGAGAGTAATTTACACATATACTATTATACAGCACAGAAACCGAGAGGGGAAAAAGCCTCTCTGGGGTGGGAGGAAGAGAAGGAGGAGGGGGGGGGGTTCGTCTCAGGGGGGGGAGGAGGTGGACGGCTACTCACAGCCAGAAATTTAATTTTCAAAACATGCAATCTACAATCAAACGATGCAATATTGATCATAAATGTTTTGGTACTCGATTCAGTCATTGGCATCAAAGCAAAATAATGAAAATAAACCAAAGGAAACTATTGGGGGGAGGTTGCTGGGATCAATTTTAAACTGTGTACGAGAAATAAGCTTATTTTTAGGCGAACGGAAATGAGCAGGAAATTTGGGATGCTTTCGATGCGCTGACGGGCAGGGAGAGTGTTTTTTGAGGGGTTGAGAGGGTGCGAGAGGCAGAAGCAGCCGGGTTGAATTATACAGACTGGTAGCCAGTGCGACTCTTCCTCCGGCCAATCAGATAAGAGATAAGCACAAGGATGATTAGGAAGCTGAGCGCCACGCCCACTGCAATGGGCACCAAAAAGCTCAAATCAGAGTCCAGGAAGCATTCCTCAGCTGACAGACAGACAGAAAGAGACACAGACAGACAGCAGGTTAGTGGTTTTAGTCAGCGGGAAACAGTACTCAGAGAGGGGCTGAGGAAATTTACAGTCGACAGAGGCTCAGAGGAAAGAGGCAGAGAAGCAAGAGAGGAGGTCAGACTCTGTAAGAAGTGGAACCAACAACGCAGATGTAGATGAGAGGAAATATAACAAAGGCACATAAAAGAAATCAAGTTATTACTTATTAGTCTATGTGAACTTTAATGTTCAGGCAGAATGAGTGAAGGAAATTCTCCAAGGTGTAGTCCGACATTTTGGGAAATGTGCAAAATGTTCTCTTGTTCATCAGTACCACCCTCACGTCTGTTAATTCAACATTAAGCAGCTGTTAAACTGTTGATATATATCCTTTTGCAGCATCGCAAACAACCTATGTTTATCCATTCAGTCCAATAACATTTTAGAGTCTAGGGATGTTTCTTTAAACTATTTAAAGGGTGGATCCGTTGTTTATTTCTTTTTGAGGTTTTAAATAATTGTGTAGCGTCCTGGTAGTATCCCAAAAGCTGGGCAAAAACTGTACGACTGGAGCTCATTTCCAACTCCCACTGTACAAATAAATCGTCTGCGATGTAAAGCCACAGCTCAAGATTAATGTGCTGACACTAGTTGGTTTGATCATCAAGTCTCAACCTGAGTGCTCAGACTGTACGTGTAAGCACTCAGGTCATGTTGTTGACAGTTCATTTTAAAGCTCTGAGGCAGGTGGAAGTATATTTGCCCGCAGAGGTCTGTAAATTTACAACATTGCAGTTCACAGCAACTTATTACTGGCAACGTTTCTCTTGTTCATATCAGTCGTGACAGGAGGGGAAGAAACATCAAAGAGGGCAGCGTGTACAGGCGTTGCGTCACCATGGCACTTTTAGATGCTCTGTTTGCCTCTTTGCACAGGTGCAGTGAGAAAGAAATTAACTACGACGGCCTGACAACAGCGGACAAAAATTTCTAACGTCAGAGATTATAAACATCTGACTGCTGCTCAGGAGCAGATGTCCTGGCCATGATTGGTCCTCGCTCCTCTCTGTACACTGCATGGCAAATGACGCCCAACAAAGCTGAAATACAGTCCAACTTTAAAATGAGTTGTGTGGCTCAAAAATCGGGTCAGAAACAGGCTCAAATCATACAAGACATGCCCACCTTTATGTATTCAAATCCAAACATTCAAACGTTGGTCGAAGTACTTGTGTTTACGTGTCAATATACTACGTTTCTAAGCCCTTCTAAGAACGTTTTCCCACCTGACATAGCTTTCTGCACGATGAGGGTGCGCCCTATAAATCCCCCAGTCCGCCTAATGTGCTTGTTTGTGACTGAGCCAATCCTTCTTTGAGAATTGCATTATCCATTTCCAAGTTAGCTATATTCCTCTAAACCGAAAACTGGCACAGAAGCTCAGCGATGTACTGCTGTGGACACGTTAGTTCACGTTAGTCCAAAAGTCACACAATCAACTAATTGTGGTGGCAACTCCTGTATTCTGTGAGGTAAAATTACTGTTTTTGTCAATGGAGTCTCGTGGCTTTGAAGAGAGCGATACAGCAGCTGCAGCTCCCCATTGAAAAGGGCTATCTGATGGTGAGGTAAAGCGGTGAAAATATTGCACTGACTGTGGATCAGTATCTCATACAGCCCTATCAATCATCAATATTATCAGCGCCCTAACATATGTCACTGCTTTTGCTAATGGCTGAGAGGCTGTTTCCATTTGAAATACCCAGAAAAAAATGCAAATGGACCCACCCTTGAATGTTGAAAGTGGAGACTAGCAAGTTTTCCTGTGAGCTTTAAAGGTGCTGGTAAACAAGTTTTTATTACCTTTGGACAAAGCTGCTAGCTGTTTTCCTCTGTTTGCAGTCTTTGTGCATGTTCATATTAACAAACAAAACAACAGTGATATCCACCCTCTCCTTTAACTCTTAGCACATTTCCCAAAATGTCAAACTATTCCTTTACAGTCAGACAGTCAACAGCATTTAACACTACATGGAAACTTCAATACAACACATTATGGTAATTTGTCACAATTAGTCAAAGGCAGCGAGGCAAAGAGGCAGCGATTCACTGACTACCCTTTGAAGAGAGTTAAGATCTGAATGAGGAAAGTTTAACTAGAAAGACTCGTAGCCGGTGGCCATGTTTCTCTTTCTCCCGATGAAATAGGCCATCAGAACGATAAGAATGAGAACAAGCAGGGCAACTCCGACAGCTATGGGAACAAGGAAGCTCTCTCTCGCATCACCCTGGCAATCCTCAGCTAGACGGGAGTGAAGAGAGCAGAGAGGTGAATGTCTCAAAGGTTGAACAGAAGAATTAAAAAATATTAATGGTTAAAGGCATGAATGGCTGAAAGAAAGATGTAGCCGGCTCAAAGTCCTGAAGAAGCTCCCAAGTATTTACAGCAGCAGTTTCACAAAAGCAATAAACATTTACTCAGGTGTCCAGGGCAGCAACGCATTTTTATTTCCATGAATCTTAAAAGACTAAAAAGCTCCACTTCAGTCTGACACACAATTTGAAATCCAATTCAGTATAGCTAACAGCGTGAGTGAATGGAGATGAAATCATTTCTGTCCACATAACACACATTAAATGATCTTTAACGAGATGGTTTTGCAGCACGAATTCCCTTTGCTGAACATGTGTGTGCAATGTTACCAAAAAGGTTTCTTAACATCATTAGGTAGTTACTGAATGAACAAGACAAAGCAAGGCACAGTTGTCGTGATGATAAACCTGTTAGATGAGAACAAGGGAGACTGACGATAAGAAAATGTCATAAACATAAACATTTACAGCAGTGCTGCAAAACCATCTTTGTAATTAAGGCAACTGAGTTTGTACAAAGCTGAAATACACAAGACAGCAACAATCACAGGCAACAATCAAAGCTCTTATTTGATTCGTAGCTATTACTCATACACATGTACAATGTCCTGGGAAAGCAACCTTTATAAGCAACTTAAAAACTATTTCTACTCATATTCAGTGTGGCGTACTGCCAGAGACGCTCCAGTCCTGAGAGAGAGCTGGAACAAGGCTGACAGTACACAACACTGAGCTAGATTTAAGCAACAATACACAGCTACTACCACGTGTCACATTGGCTTTCTATTATTAAAGAAGTACACATTCTGGGGCCTGCCTCTGTCCCTGATACTGCATCACTCAGCCCAGTCGACAGAATCAAATGCTGGCATTGTGTATTTATGCAAACCGTAAATGGCAGATTTGTGCGTTCCAAACGTTATTATATCAACATTTCTAAAGTGACTTAGTTCAGATTACATGTATATGAGAAGAGTTTCTCATCAGAAGGAGGAGAGGATGGTGGATGGCGTGATGGCTTCTGAGCAGAGGACCACTGTTGGAGACTAGTGACATTTCCAGCCGTGTTTGTGGCACCAAAACCGGGTATTTTTTAGCAAGACATCAGGGTTTTTCCAGCTGCATTAATGGTGATGAAACTGAATATATTTAAGGTGATGTCAGCACACTTCCAGCCATGTGTGTGGTGACAAAACCATGTCATTTGAAACAAGATGTCAGGACATTTCCAGCTGCAATAATGCCTACAAAACTGTTTTGGTTTTTTTTTTTAAACAAGACGTTGGTACATTTCCAGCTGTGTTTATGGCACCAAAACCGAGTTTTTTTAAAGGGATGTCAGGACATTTCCTACTGTGTTTGTGGTGACAAAACCGTGTCATTCAAAACAAGATGTCAGGACATTTCCAGCTTCGTTAATGGTGATAAAACTGATTATTTTTTTAACGTGATGTCGGCACATTTCCAGCCATATTAGTGGCGACAAAACCGGGTATTTTTAAACGAGATGTTGGAACATTTTTAGCTGTGGTTATGGTCGCCGATTGTTGCGACCAAACTGGGTATTTTTAAGTCAAAACATAACCCTCTCTAACACTACCCAAGATTATTTTATGCCTAAACCTAACCACACATTTACCACAGCATCGTCACTTTACAGAAACGTACAATGCCAACATTTATTCTGGCGAATGGGTCGCATTAAAGCAAACCTGCACTAATTCCCTGACTTAAAAGCTCCCGAAAGCTTAATTTAAGTTTCTTACTATGAGTGACTACATGAAAACACAACTTTCTGCCAACAATTTTGTGTATCACAAGATTATATCACACACCTCCTTGTTGTTTGTTTTTTATTTTTTAATCAGAATCCTAAGTCAGGCGTAGGCATGTTCGTTCTTTGCCAATTCTGGATCAAACCTCACCTACAAGGTCCTGATGGAGTGAAAAAGCTTTTAAAAGAATAGTCTAACATTTTGGGAAATACCCTTCTTGCTTTCTTGCTGAGAGTCAGATGAAAAGACTGATACCACTCCAAACAAACATGATGCAACATGCTAAGTGAGCATCAGAGGGACTGGTAGGCGGTTTTGTTTGCTTTGGATACAGCCAGACTAGTTTTTCCCTCTGTTTCCAGTCTTTGTGCTGTATGAGCTGCATGTGCTGATGTAGCTTGACAGACATGAGAGTGCTATAAATTGTCTGATTTAGCTCTTGGCAAGAAAGCAAATAAGCGTATTTAATAAAATGTCTAACTGGATTAAACAGTTCGTGCAGAAATACCTCAGGACCTTTTTTTGGATTGCTGCTTGTGTATTTGTGAATGCTAAATGTTACAGAGAAGTACTTTAGATTCGAAACAAAGCTCTCAGGGGCTTTAACGTCCCCTGATCCAGCTGCAGCCCTCAGAGCTCAGGCCAAGCCCACGCCTATACACAGGTGAGATAATGTGACAACAGACTCAACATAATGCAAAAATGTAAAGAGCGCCTTAGTGCATTTAGATGTATATATCCTTGTTTCAGAATTCTCTGCGCTGACTATCTACATATCAAAACTCTCCCTTTTCTAAACCTAATGCCAAAATGTGTTGAGTGAGAAAATAACAGTTGGCCTTTCTTTTAATATTATTCTCTGAGTGCAGCGTGTGCAAATGTAAGAGACCTTTTAAAATGGCGGACGTGGTGCAGCAGGAAGAGCACAGGTGTAGTTAATAACACTAACAATGATTTAATGATTTGCCAGTTCCAGGGCCACTCGTTAATGTCATTAGTTACACCTGGACTTTTGCTGCCTGATGCCCAAATGTCCACCATGAAAAAGGTCCATTAATGCTCAAACAACAAACACTTTCACATTCTTAATATGATGATTGGAGCCCCATAATCAGGACAATAATTCCAATGTTTCTCCTGCTCTACAGGGGACAAACACGGGCTAAAGCATATTTCCCTTGACTACTTTCCAAATGGAGTAGACCTTCATCCTTGTTAATGAATTTCTGGGAACAAAGAAAGAAATCTGACCGACAATCTACCTTTGATTTGTGAAGTAAATGCTGCTGAAAACTCTTTTATGTCTTAATTTGAAAAACTGTGGGGATGAAAAGCCAGACCATAAAAGGAACTAAAATGTGCACAAAGATTAAATAATGATAAAAGAAAACAACAAGGGAATGTCTGCAGAGCAAGTGCAGGATCCAAGGAATTTAGACTGTCAGTCATCGAAAAACACTTGAAAAATTAAAGTCCAGAGGCTTTTGTTAGTGCGTAAGTGTGATGTACCTGCATAGGAACTCTAAATATATATACTTGAAGGTGAAGGACTTTCCTTATAGGAAATATATAGACTCATACAAAAGGAATCCCTCAGTCATCACTTATGACCCACTATGTTTGAGACAGCACAGGTGAAGTCGGGACTTAATAAAAAGGTAGCAACCAGGTGCCAGACTGTACGCAGCACGCATCCTAAAGGAAGCTGGGATCATGGACATGGTGCCAAAATCACAAATATAGTGCATTTGGGGTTGGCTTCCACTTTTGCTGGGGACACTGTTTACAAGCAGTAGCTGTCAATTTCTGCATATTATACCTTTAAATTAAAATAAAAAGGGTTGTGTGGATGCTGCACTTGCTCATTAACAAAAAACACAACAAATAAGGGAAAGACGAGACATCCAGAAAACAACAAAAAAGAAACAAACATTGGGGGAAGACAAGTTTGGTCCTTGAGAAAAACACCAAACCCTCTGTTGTTACATGGATTTACTCAGTATTATATCATCATTAAAGACCCTCCACTGCAATTCAAAAACACTCCATGTGCTTTTCATGTCTCATAATGACCAATAAAATCCAGCACTGCAGATTTTTTCCCAGCAGAGACTTCAGTTTAGATTTTGACTCTTGAATCTTTATGTTATTTGCCAATTTAAAAAACAATTGCACATGAAACCCAAGGACCAGGCTTGGGAACCCCGTGATATTGATTGCACACTGGATTTAAAGGGTCTGATATCCAACATAAGTCTTTCTTCGACCAATCACGTAAGCAATCACTACAATGAGAATCAAGCCAGCCAGCGCAGCGCCAACAATGATTGGGATTAAGATGCTGGTGTCATCCAATGAACATTCATGGGCTGCAGATAAAGAAAGAGTCAGTCAACAGGTGAAACAGTGATTAAAACCACAGCAGCACGACAGCAGTTTTATTTGCCATCAACTGTGGGCAACACAACACTTAATTCTCACTACTTTAGAGATGTCACATAACACTGTTCATTTGAATGAACATCTTTGGGAAACACAGATGCATTTTATACAAATGAGGACCTGCTTTGGGAGGTGATTTGGGTACCTTTGAAGTGATCAGGGTGATGAACATTAACCAGACTTCCTGTTCAGGAAGTTGAGCCTTGGATGGACTTGATTAGAAATAGCACTGTCTCTGTCAAGAATTTAAACCAATGGGTCCAAAACTACAGGTCAGGACCTCTAAAAGAGTCCCAAGAAAACAGTCTGAGGGGGGTCACAAGAATTATTACATTCTCCTCTAATTTCTGCTTTCTTCTTGTGAAATACTGGACTCTTTCACCTCTTCTAAAATCTTTCAGATGGCTTGTGAGGAGGGACTATTAGCAAAATTGCTTTATTTTGAGGGGACGTAAGCCAAAAAGGTTAAAAACCACTACTTTAAAATGTGTATGATCAAGCACTTTCCCTTTGTTAAGTTAATATAAAGTACAACAGCACTAGCTAGTACTAAGGCTGTGTGGCAGCAGACTGTGACTTCCTTTTTAGGACGCCTGCTCTTCCCACTGAGCTACTGGACAACCAATAATTTTAAAAAAACAGCTGAAAAATTGAATGCATACTAATTTAAACCTGTGACCTAAAATGTTTTTTGTTTTCTTTGGGAAAATTAATTACATTAAAAACATTACATGATCATATTATCATGCCTTTAACTAAGACACTGTTGGACCCAATTTCAACATGACACTCAGCCCTAGTACAGGTATAAACTAACAACTCATTTATTTGCTTCTAACACAACAAAGTTCATCTTGTTACAACCTCTCGGCGTCATCACCCACTTCCTCTCCGCTCTAAATAAGAAACAGTTTGGTCAGCAGAGTCTGTTTTAGGAGACATTAAAGAAAAACCTACCTGTACTGAAAACACTGTTCTTGACTCCGAACGGCTGAACTTGAAGATCGAAGGTGTCGATGGTGAGCTGGCTGGTGATGTTGTAGCTCTGTTCCTTGTTACACATGTAGGAGCTGCCGACAGCCGCCTCCCACAGACTCAGGTTGGTGTTCGCCTCAGAGAACGTCACACCTTGAAAGAAACACACAGATACAGAGAAAAACATCAGCTTACTTCTCAGTGTGGTGTCTGGTCTATGTGGGTAGATTTACTTATTGTAATTACCAGCGCTCGTCTTTCCAGTGATGTTCAGAGCGTGTAGGCGGAATTTCTTTGTGTCCTGTTGGACAGAAAATAGAAATATGCATCAATACAATGTATTTTAACACGACATTTTCAGCTCTCTCAGTTACCAAAGGCTAACAGAGTGTCAGCATCAAGGACAGCCAGGATATAAACATTTCCCTTCTCTCTTTTCAGGGTCAAGTGATACTGTCAGTGAACATGTCACATTTTGTAGCATCCTGTCTAGTTCTGTGAGGTTATGTAATGTTGGTCCCTAGTTACAGCACTGTTCGTCTGTCTAATTCACAGATTCCCGACCAGAAGTATGAAACAATAAAGATGGAAAGACAGTGGTGCTGCTGTAGAAATCATATCCACAAATATGGGTTTAGGAGTTAAGGTAACAAACAAACTCTGCATTACAAATTGGTGCTATTTTAGTGCTTTTAATAATGTCAAAATTAACAGTAAACTTTGAACTAGTCCTCAGTTTCACACCTGCAACACCTGAACACCACTAACTGATTAAGAGTGCACGATACTACCGGGAGAAAAGAAGAATAAATGGTGGAAATGTCCAACTTCTGACACTGTTGCTGTTAGTCATATGACTACAAAATCAAACTTACTGTAAATAAAGTAGACCAAAAAGACTGGGGACCGACTGATCTATTATTAACAAATTTCCCTGCCTTGTTCTGTATATTTTTCTTGTGTTAAACAAATAGTTTTAAGAAATTAACAAATTGTATTTGACAGCCCAACATGCTTTTAGTTTTTTTTTAATAACACATACACTTGGTTATCCTAAACCATAAAGTGGAAGTAAACATCTTTTGCTAGCTAGCAGCACAATTTGAGAAGCTGTCTACTTCCACAATAGTTAAATTAAATTATATGCAAACATCTCCACAAGTAAGTAATTCAGTTCATGTTAACCTGACACACACTGTAGCAGCAATTAAAACCATATATATCGAGATTCTAATTAACTGGAGACATAACCTTTTTTCCTACTTCACAAAGATCATAAGCACTTCACTATAAAACTGAATTATGGAAATCAGTTGAGAAATGTAAACATTTTAGTGGCTTTTAGCCAAAAAAAACGCAGCTGCATTTGTTTAAAGTCAAGTCTTGCCTTCTGCATTATGGCGCCAATGTTGATGTTATAGCTGCAACAGTCTGACACTATATATATATATGTCTATGATGTCAACCACTGCACAACCAAAACAGGAAGAGGATAGTGCTTTTGTGCTCCCAATAGCTATCAATAGCTATCCAAAGAGTATCAGTGTAGGTTCTTTGTAATTACTATCCACAGTAGCGAAGATGGTGGATGTTAGAATGATCAAAGTATCTGTGGAAACTGTAATAGCTGTTAGGCTCTGAGGAAAACTGGAGGCCAGCAGCACCAACAATAACACCACTTGGAAACACTAAGGGAGAATAAATTGTCAGTTTCCACTGTAAAGCCATTTAATGTCAAATACTGAGAAAATGTGACCATACAGGTTTATCAGACTTACATGGACAAAAGTGAGCATGATAGTCATTTTGGTGGACACCACCACCAGCTCACTGGTGTTGTCTCCACATGATCCAGAGATGGTGGTCCCATTGGGGTCAAAGTTCATCTTGGGACATTAAGAGAAGAGAAGGGAATCAAATCAACAAAAAGAACAATGGAAGGTCACGTGTAAATCACCTGGAAAACAAGACTGTTTATGAACATACCTCAGCTTGCTTGTAAGCAACCCGGAGGCCAAAGTAAGCCATCAGACAAACTGTGCTGTTTTCATTGGGCTTGAAGTTGTACTTCCCAGTGGTGGGTGTGGGGAGGGGTGGGGTTGGGGTGGTGGTGGTAGTAGGGACAGTGGACGTAGCATTTGTGATGGGAGCCGCAGTGCTGGTGGCATGAGTGGTGGGGGCAACCGGGGTTGTGGGTACGTCAGCAGCACAAGAAGTGACTGCATGAGAGAGCAGACGATGAATGTAAACAGGAGAGAAATATCATAGGCAGGATGAGATATGACACTGCATCGGCACTTACTGTTTTCACTCGTGATGTTGTTACTGACAAAAGCCTGTATGAGCACGTTCCACAGCGTCTGATTGACCGAATCAGCTTCGAGCACCTCTTTACTCTTGCAGGAGTAGCAGGTGTCCATGCCTACATCTGTAATGTGAGGCTTCACGTAGACATTTGTGGTTTCTAAAAGTAATTCAAAAACACATCAGCATTAGTACAAAGTCTTTCATCCATGTGTGTATATTAGTCTTGCACTCTGGGGCGTATTAGTTACCATTTGTTGATGCTTTAGGGAAGAATTTTGTGTCACCAAGGTTGTAGGAAAACGTAATGGTGTCTGTCTGGTACATTTTTCCATTCACGGTGAAGTTCACGCTCCAGGAGTGTCCTTCTCCAAAATTAATCTTCAACAATGAGCTTGTGGTATCACACTTACTTCCATCTGATGTGACTGTTTCAGGAAGTTCAAACTCGGTTGTTGCACTCTAAAAGAGAGCAGAGTGTAAGCTTTTAAGACCTCAAGGAAAAAAAAAAGTTTAGCAGAGTTTTATCTCCAGGGACAGTGACACTGACTACATTTACAGGCATAAAATATTTCGTTTTTTGCCCTTATTCCTAAAAAGGCAATATTCCTACTAAGCAGTTTGCATGGCTCATGAAAGTGAATATTACACTAAAATTCCCATTTACATGCAGCCACATATACCCTGATTAACGTGCCCTAACACGGCTGTCATCATGTCAAAATATGGAAATGTGTAACAGCTGGAGCCACTTGTGATATTTGCATTAAAAAAAAATAGTATTTTGACTTGTTCGACCATGCAAACACAGCCTCCCTCTTTCTTTCCATCAACCACTTCCTTGAAAAGGTCAGCGCTGTGATATTTGAGCATATCCAAGAACCGGTTAGTATGTAAGTCTTTCATAATGTTTAAAAGTAAAGTTGTTTCTTCCTCTGACCAGAGATGTGGGCTTTTCCATTGGGCACGCATCTCTTACCTAGCCTTGCAAAATGTTGGCTAGTTAGTTTGTGTACAACGCATCCATGACAACTCACAGAGCTGACCGTACACAGGCAAGAGGCTGTGTGTCGAAAACTGCAGTAAAAACCCGAACCGAGATGCAAACTGCCTGGGGCACGTCGTGTATTAATGATACTCGTTACCTGGAGAGGTTGGAAAAAGATATACGTTTCTTCCCTGTTCCAAAACCAAAATCAAACCCTGGAAAGTGTAGGGTTAGCTAGCTAGCTACTGAAGATATAGCCTACTGAATGTAAACACATGCTGCTTTTGCTTCTGTACAGGAACCAGTGAAGGGAAGCAGGGAAAGTCTGCTGATATTGAACCAGCTTTGTGTCATCGCGGTGTGCACAGAAGCTTCCCTTTATATTCATTGTCTTGTGTGGCGATCAGCAGTGATGTGGTGGTTCACTTTTACACTGTGATCTGTAGCCTACAGTTCGGCTTTAGCTTCTAACTATCTTTGTCTTTTTAACCTGTTGTTGCTGCTGGGTCAGTTTGACATCCTGGATATATCCTTCAAACACAGACTGCAGAGCCCTCTGTCTGCTTCTCTCTGGAATCACTGTTTCATTTTTCCAAAAATGTGATAATATTTCTTCAGGGAGTGCAGTTAGTTACAGTGTGGGCTCCAGGCTTACTCCGACAGCTTGTCAGACCTTCACAAAGGGGCGGGGCTTAGCGAAGGGTCAATTGAGAAGAAATGTATTCTGTAATTAAGAATATCCAACCAGAATATTATCAAATTCACAATATTGTCATATTCAAAATAGTAGTTGAATATTATTGTGAATGTAAATGTAGTCACTGACACTGAACATAACATAATTTTCATTCATGCAAAAACATCAGCCACCAAGCAAGTAAGACGAGTGTAGTTTAATTGTTCATCTGATGTGCTTGGCATAAAGTAATAATTTAGGCATGTCTAATTCTGAAAGAAAAACAGAATAAAGATTTTCTCATTAGTTTCTCCTTTGCAAACATGGTCTAATAGACAGCTAATATGAAATTTCGCAAATTTTCCTAAATTTCTGTGAGCTGCTTTGTTTATCACAACAGCTCTCTAGTGAAAACACAGGACATAACAATCACAGGATGTGCACCAGGAAAACTCACTAACTAAAATGCTGAATAGCAAGAATTTCTTTGCTTTGTAGTGACTATCCTCATTTCCCCTTTCCATGGTGACATGTGCTTCCACAAGAGCTGTCTGATAGTCACGCTGGCGAGGCCTCCTGATAAGAGCAGAGCTGCTTCACTGTATCAGCAAAGTAACCTCATAAAGATACTGTGCAGCCTCAGTACTAAATACTGTGTACCAAACAGTCCATCATATGAGAACATCTTGAGGTTACTGTGACTAAGACCAGACACTTACCTTATTGTCAGTTGTGTCATAGGAGACTGAGAAGTTGACCATTAGATTGGCATAGAGGCATAAGTTGTTGTCTTTGTCAGTGACGTTCACCTCAGTGCCGTGTGAAAGCTGGAACGCTGGAAAAGGAAAGAAACATTACACCACTTTCCCTCTTCTAATTAATTATTAGTCCAACTGGAATTTAATAGGTTACTCTCTTCACTAAAGATAGAGCTCCAAAAAATGGAAACTCATGTAAAGTTTGTCTGTTCAAACAAGAGAGATGAGAACCAACAAACACCTTTTTAGGAAAACAACCACAAACTCAGACATCAGCTGACATCAGATGACCACCACCGCCAATGCCATGTACTAAAATTCAACTTGGATTAGGACATTTTCTAAACAGGCTGGGAATATCTAAGTTCACTTGTCATAAAAGTATAATGTTCAAAAGAATCACATGACCCCAAGTTGACAAAAAACACTAAAGTAATATTTTAAAACAACAGCACACTTTAAAAAAAGATTTTCAGTCATACTTGCAATAAACCCCTGTATCTTTCTACAGGCTCTAAGACCTTGTATACAATTTCACAGAAAAGAGGTCAAAGTCCATTCAGGTTCACTATATGGATTTGCCAGAATGCTTTGTCAACAACTCAAAAACAGCTGCCTGACACAATCTCTTTGTATCATAAACCTATTAAGCAGTAAACATGAACTCTAAGTCACATGAATGTTTGTAACACTGCTATAGAAATACTGTATTTTTACTGTAGGGCTACATAACATTAGCGACATCTCATCTGACAATGCTTGGTCAACACTTAAAATATGTGTTTTTTTCTCACACAGACTTCAGTATACTGAAATCACAGCTATCAACCTGTGACCCTATCTATGGGAGCACCATTTTTGTTCAAGCCTATCAAAATGCAGTGTGTGTGAATGTATGATAAAAACATTTGCAGTAGAAACATAGCTGAAATTCCTCACAAGGTCACAGAATTGGGTGTAACACCGAATCTGTCAGCTATAGACATTTACTGTTGAGAAAAACTATCACACTACAAGCAAAATATAACCTCTGTGACAAAACTAGTTAACCACTATCTTAATTACAGCACATCAAATTAATGTAAAAACATTAGCTAACCACTCACTTACTCAATACACAACCGTCAAATGTAACAATGCCAAAAAGGAACACTCTTTCACTGCCCATGGGAATATAATAATGTAGTCCTAAGTTTTTGGAACACGGATCTTGACCTGGATAACCAGAAAAAGCTGTGCAACCTGTCTATTTATCCAAGTGATTTTTATTTCTAAAAAGAGTGGCCATGCATGTAAAGAATTGTGTCTCTCACAAGGTAAGAAATCAATAGGCACAGGATGGAAAAATGTGAACAAACAAAGCATGAATCGACATATATTGCTATGGAAACATAAATTACAAAAGGAAAGCTGTCAGTTTCTTATGAATACCTGAGGAACACTGATGGAGTTATTGAAATAAAATGTGGGTAATGATCAATAAAGCCAAAGACAGGGGTAAGGGTGGGGCGACAGGAATAAAGATAAGATTGCAAAGTGTAGCGGCACGTGATCTGCAAGATTAGGCAGACATTACATTGCAATTACTGTAACATCATTCACCTCTGTTACTTTTTGCATTTTACTTAGCTACATGTCTATTTATTTAATGGTATACTGTATTTGCTACCAAGACTGTCCACTTTATTAATTATGCAATGCTTGTTATAAGAAGATAAAATACAGATATTGTTAAATAAAACATCAGCTAGCATCAAGCTAGTTTTAAATGAGGAATTTACGTTGTAAAATTCCTCCTTTTGTTTCAAATGAGGAATCAACTGAACTAACGTTAAATTACTCCAATTTACATGTAATTCCTCATTTCAAGCGCTCACCTGGAATAAAAAGTGATCTTGCCTATGACGATTCTTGTTTCTTATTTAATGTCTGTTGTTTTTTAATCATAATATATTGTTATTTATCATCTTACGTACCGCTGTGACTGAGGCTAGCTAATTTGCTAACTACCTCACACAACGTTAGCTTAACGGTAATTCGTTCTGGTTGTACCGTCACGTGCTAACTTACTGTAAACTGCCAAACGTTGCTAATGCTAACTATTCTAGACAGTTGACACATTGTTAATGCGTTTTATGTTGTGCCAACTGGGTTTTAAACACTATTTATAGCCTCCTAACCTTGGTGTGTGTGGCTGTCGTTGTTTGGCAGCAGACATGACTCAGAAGGTTTTATGATTACCTCGGACTTGAGCTTCAAAACAAGTGTTATCTAATAAGCAAGCTCACGGCTAAGTTAGCTAGCGTTGACTAGCCAGCACATTATGGAATGGCACTATGACTACTATGACTATTAAAGCTACCTTTACAGTTACTGTCAGTGCATTGTTTGGATGTTATACCACAGCATGAAAACATACATAGCAGCTGCGTGGGGAAATGTAGTTTATTGAGGTGCACAGATCGACTTAGCAGCGCTCCAGTTTGATGTTGTTGACGTAGGTAACAATTAGCAAGCTAGCTTCATTAGCAAAACATCACGACTGGGCTGCTACTCGACTGACCAGGCGGTGATGCTTTCGTTTTAAGGCCCGTACAGTAAATTCACACTCAGATTACATTTCTGTCTTTAACACTAAAGAGCACAGACAACTAATACACTTATGTTTAATCTTTCTATCCAGAGGAGCTTGTAGCTTTAGCCCAGAGGCACCAGGCCCGGAGTGTCCCATAAGTTTAGCGTTAATCACGTCACTTCGCAGAAACAGACAGCGGTTTTTTTCACACTTTTTTTGCATCTGATTTTAAGACTAATACAGGTGATGATACGTACCGATTCCCAGGGCGAGGGATAAAACAACTGCAGCATATCGGTACATGGTCGCCTTGCAGTTTGGAGTGTCAGCCACGGGAGAGAAGAAGAGAATATCCAACAGGGTCGCTCAGTCAGCGGTGTTTGGGATGTATCTGAGCCGCCGACTGTACCAGGAAATGGAAGTCATATGACAGGGACCGTCTCAAACCAGATGGAGGTGTGGACTACAGTCTATCTTTCAATCTCTCTCCCTGTTTTACACTTATTATACTGTGTGTATTTCCACGGATCACAAGAATGTGAAACAAAAAATACTTAATAATGGCTGCTTTGATACAAGACAGTAGCATGTGTATAGAAACCAGTGATTAATAAAAGAAACCCCCCAGATTGAAACAGTTATTTTAATCTGAAGCAATAAATCTAACAGACTCATACGAACAAGGGCATGTCTAATCAATCATAATTCTCCTCATGTGTTGAGGCAATCCACTCCAATTCCTCCCACTTTTCAGCAAGGCCTGCAAGCCCCACAGGGAGACATACAAAAAAAAATATAGTGTGTATATGGTATGACACCGGGAAAGATGGGGACTCTGATGCCATTGTGCTTTTAGTATACTTTCTAAGGGTTAACAAAAAAAACCTAAAAAGCAGTTGACTGTCAGATGAGATCATGTAAAATGTCACTTTTGTGAAGTATGTACAAAAACGTACAAAGACAGAACAAACGAGAAACTTAAATGCATATACTTGTACAACTGAAGTGTTTTAGCAGCTTGAATACACCCTATAACAAAAGAAGTGCTCATTTTTTGGCACAAACTCTGCTTTGAACGCTCTGTGTGTTCATGATCACAGCTTTATCAGATGGCCTTAGAATGGTAAAACTGCAGGATCACACATTTGACACAGATCCCCCCCCCAAATTGTTAATTTCCGACAATGAATATTAGTCCAATAGTCCCACATTTGACACTGACTGAAGAGACAAGCATCAGTTTAATTTTTTGATCCTCTTTCTCTCCAACGTGTGGTACATTTAGAGCATTAAGTGTGTCAGCATTTGCTTGGGATACTGAGTGAACAAAAAACAAAAAAAAGTGACTTGATAACAAAGAGCATATTGATTCAAACTATGGACAAAGAAGAATCTAAGTTTGAAAATAAATATTTTTCCTCTCCATTAAAAAAAAGAGCAAACGGAACAACATCTGTGTGTCTTCTTTGTCTGTCCTCGGTGAGCCCAACTCTCTCAGAGGCACTGAGAAATATGGACAATATTCTCTTTTCAATGGGCATGCAGTCCACAGGATCACAAGACCCCTGACAAAAATCCTGTGGAGCAGTATCCATTCAACATGTCGGTCGCTGGGTTGAAGATGATAATGGTTAACATCCACTGTCTGGAGCAAAAGATTTTAGAGACCGATCACCTCAGCCTGAATGGACCATCTGCATCTCTTTTTCTCTGTCACTTTCTCTTTCTCTCTAAGCCACGTAGTTGTACTGGTTGGGGTTCTCCTTGTCGCGCTCCATATAGTCCCTGTCAATAAGAGACTCTATCCTCTTCTTCAAGTCAGCAGGCTGTAAGGGAGGAGGCAGAGGTTAACTCATGCGGCACATGCCAGCATTTCTGGTTATTTTTATACTTTGAGGTGTGAGGTAATCACATTGAAAAGCAGATTCATGTAAGCCATGCCACTTCCCCGGGGTAACTTACACTACAAAGTCTCTCTTGTACAAGCCAGTTTAGACCTTACCTTGGTAGACCAGTCTTAAATAAACTTTATTTAACTGTCTGACAGTATCATCAGCTGATGGGGAAAGTAGCTTGTTAACAGGGAGGGTGCTTTTATAAAATACACCCGAAACTAGACCTGCAACTATATCAGAAAATGGTGAAAAATGTCAATCACTGTTTTCTAGAGCCCAAGATGACTTCCTCAAATGTCTTGTTTCATCCACAACCCAAAGATACTTTGTTTACTGTCACAGAGGAGTAAAGAAAACAGATATTATTCATATTTTAAGAAGCTAGAATCAGAGATTTTGACTTTTTTCTTACACCATTTTTTACTCTTTTTTTTTTCTTGCTCAAATGCTCAAGCCGTTTAATTGATTCTTAAATTAGTTGGCAGCTAATTTAATAGTTGACAAGTAATTGCTAATAAATGAATTGCTGCAGTTCTACCCAAAACAGCCTGAACTGAATTTTGTTAGAGGAAAAAGCTAGGTAAGATAATAAGATAATAAGTTAATTAAAAATCATTCGATATTTGCTTATTGCAAATGTATTTGTTGGCCAATACCACTAGTACCACTGAAATTAAAAAAGATTTAATTGTAAAATGTCTCACTAAGAAGATATTGTGGTCACAATTTTAATAAATGAAAATAATATTCACATATTATAAATCAAATAGTGTATGCCTATGTTATGCGTTTATGCAAATAAAATAACATAAAATAAAAGATTGTTGGCAGATAAATCACTAGAGGATTTTTTTAAGCTCCAAAACATCAGTATTGTTGGGCTATAATCCTAAATATTTAGTCAATAATTTTTACAGTGTATAAATGACTCTGGTGTATAATGGAAATCCATCTCTTACAAAACCTTAACAGTTCCACAACAACAGATTTTGAGAGTTAAACAGTCATCGAAATTGAATTGAAAATACTCATGCCCGATATAAATCAATGAAGCTTTTGTGTTGTGTTTATCACCTTGACAGGGAATTTGAGCTGGTTGTACACTTCAGACATCAAGAGATTATGGCTCAGAGTCTTCCTCATCTTCATGATCCGCACGATGGCAGCATCAATCTGATACTGACGATCCTGAAAGACCCGTTCTGTGGTGCTGGCTTGTTCCTCCACCTGACAGGAAACAATTTGTTAAAATACTTCAGCAAACACTTTGTAGGCCTTGAAGTGAGAAAACTACTGCAACAAGATATTATACCGTTTCTTTCATCTGGATCTGGTTTATTTTGATCCTGAACAGCTTGTGTTTGAAGTCATCATTGCAAGAAAATTTGTCCCCGTCCTCCACGTCTTTACTTTTGGGGATTTTGGTGAGGACGCGCGCTTTCCCACAAGCCAGTGACTGCAGAGTCCGGCGCAGTTCGCTGTCCTCTGTAAACCGACAGACACACAAACAGTATTTTAGATCAGTGGTGCTGCATAATGAGTGCCTGACAACCCTCGTTCCTTTATCAAAATGCTGCCAGTCAAACTTTGATGTGATCACACAGACCTATTCCTGTTGCCAGTTTGATCTCCTCCAGGGTGAACTCCTCTCCCTCATTAAACATCAGTAGCACAAGTGTTTGGAATAGTGACACCTGCAGCTCCTTTTTGCCCTGTTGTACAAAAAAATCAAAGAGAGCAATTAACATTATGCTTTATTCAGTGAAAACACACCAGAGTGTCTCTTGCAGTTATCTACCTCTTTAAATTCAGCTTTTAAGACACAATGGCCGAGTGTCGATTGCCACTGCAGCTTCCTGCCGCTGTGTTTGCCCAGGTAGAAGGTCTTGAAAATCTCCTGCAGTCGCACCATCTGGACAAAGATAACAGAGGCACAACAAAGCCACACTCAGTACATTTATTGCACAGCAGGTGATAAAAACAGCATGCTGCCGAAAATTTATATATTTGCTCAGCACTAACCTCAGGAGGCAGGTGCACTTCCATCGGGACATAGGTTGGCCAGTAGCCCATCGTGAGGATGTTCACCGTCAGCTCAATGTTGCCAGGAATGTTTTGGCACTGCATATACTACAGAAATACATGTGACATACATGTGATATCTACCCGCACAAATTTAATGCTTCACTTTAGGTTATCATGACAAGAAACGGAATCTGTTGGGGGATACTGAAACCAAAAACAGCACTGCGTTAAAAATGGGCTGTGTTGCTGAGGGCCAACAGTTTCAGGTGACAGTGAGATGATGAAATATGAACCATGAAGCCGTGTCTGAAGGATGAATCCATGAGTGTGAAGGCTTGTTAGATTTCAAAACAATGCACAGTGGTTTGTAATAAGAGGAGGAAGGATTTTACAACTCTGGAAACTTCTCACGGTGACAATCACTTCATCTCTTGTTCCCTTAATCACGAGCTAATGAGTACTTCCTGTTGCAAAGTAATATACCAGGCAGAGCCGAAACTACTGGTCTAATTAATTGATTTTGGCAGTTGACGTTAAACACACTGTATGTAATTTCTGCTGCTAGGTCTCTGTAGAGACTTTGATGACATCCTGAGGTAGCGTGGGTTAATGGGAGTTGTCTTCACTGCTGATGACAAGCTATCTGTCATTAGCATTAGGTGAGTCGACTACCCATACAGCTACTGCAGCTAACATGATGTGGTGGGTTCAGTTGTGAGGTAGCCCGGCAGTGTCATCTGTATTCACAGCAATCTTTCTAAAAATATCTTTATGAGTGTGTTAAATGTTGTTTTAATGTTATAACAATGGCTTGGTGGCTGGCATGATCCACTTGTCATAGAAGCACACTGTCGTAAACTGGATCAATGTTGAAATATATCAATAAATTAGGTCTCTGCTGGAGTACTGTGTTGAAAATGGCATGCTAATGATAAAAATATTGCCGTATTATTGTCACCGGGTATAATGCTGTGACACTGTATGATTTACAGTGAAGTATGATCTGGAGTTTTCATGTTTCTCCAGAAGTTGGAGCAACTACAGCGGGAAAAGGTTACATGATATCGCCAAAATGAAACATATTGTTTCTTGAATAAAATTGCAGCTTCCTTAGAGTCTGTACATTACTGGGAACATTTTGGATGATGTAAATACACAACTCTACAAAATATATAACACAGGTCTCGTCATTTTTATACATTTTGAAGTAGAAATGTAACCTATTTTCTTTAAAATAACATTTTACATCAAATAAAAAAGTATTTGTTCCTGCTTCTCCAGTGTGAGGATTTGCTGGTGTACTTTCAACTCAACAAATAGGCAATAAAGCAAGAAAATAAGAGGATAGGAGGATTATTTGATAATGAAAAATAATCTTAAACTGCAGCCATTGCAGCAAGTATTTGATATGAGTTGCAGTCAATTGCCAAAAGAAGTTACATTGTGGCAAAGGTTGAGCCAGGTTCAATGACTGTTGTAAACACAGCAGGCTAACTGAAAGGAACG